GGTAGATCGAATACTATATAAGAAGAATTATATTAGTAGGTAGATAGAGTAGTATTAAATTAGTATAGTATTCGATAGAGATCTAAGAGGAAAGGGAGGAAGGTAGGCTAGTTAGCCTAACGCTAAGTGCTAAGCCCTACCTAAGGTATTAGGACCCTAGCTTTACTCGGTCTAGTTATATACTAATTATATATAACCTCTAATAGTCGGATAGTAGTCGGCGTTAGCGAGAAAGCGGATCTTAACCTATATCTTAAATTCCTCGTATACTTTACGCTTACTAGTAAAGCGTTCGGAGTCGCTAAGCTTCTTACTCTTATTCGAAGTAGGTATAAATAGGTAAGAGGCAGGTATCGCGGCGCCTAGGCGAGTAGAGGCGAGCTACGACTAGAGGCGGCCTACCTTATTTTCTTTTTCCGCGATAGAAGTATTCGCGTCGTTAAGAGCTATACTAAGGCTTATATAAGAGACTAAGAGGAAACGAGTAGTATCTTTATAAGCCTTAAGTAGGTTAGCGAGCAGTTCCGGATTAGTAGTATAGGCGTAATCTAGCTACTCGCGCGTAGTAGGGATATTATTCTATACTAAGCTTAAAAAATCGGATACTTCGTTAGGTCTTATATTTTAAATCTACTCGTCGGGAGTGTCTATTTTAATAGAGGCGTTTTTTAAGGCAGTTCGTAATATAAGGGTTAGAGGCTAAGTAGTAAGAATATATATAAAACTTTAAACTAAACTAAAGGGAGCACTAAATTAATATAGCTACTATCTATATAAGACGAACTACGAAGAAAGAAAGAAGGGTACCTTAGAGGGAGAGCCCCTTCTTTAGTATCCCGCCCTACGGGCGTCTAGTATATCCGACGCGTAAGTATAAGTATATATATCCTACTTACTAACTTCTTAGTAAACCTCTACTTTTAGGTCCTTCCCTACGCGCTAAGCGCGCGCGCGCGTATTACGCTTGTCCGCTATCTCGTAGCGCCTTTATCTCCTAGCTAACTTACGTAGTACGCGTATACGAACTCGTTTAACCGCTCTTAAGCAAATATATTTCTCCTAGCTCTTCCCTATCTTCCGGTTCCTTCCTACTACTCGGATCTGTCCTACGACTCTATATATCTCGCTTACTATCGTCCGTATACGCGTACGCGTAGTTTAGTATAGTCCCGTCGTTTGTATATTAATATATAACGTATTATTTTACTATATATAGCCTCTACGGGAGTCCCTAAGATATTACGTTATATAGCTAAATAGGCGGCTAACTAAGCGATCTACTTCGCTAGGGGCCCCTACTACTAAGGCAACTTAAATCCGATATTACTTTATAGTATAGCGGCTAGCTTATAAGACTTATCGGTACTTTCTAGGCAGCTACTATAATATAGCCTGTACGCTAGTAGAGCCTATAATACCGCTTCTTAACTTATTTAGAGTAGTAGCGCGCTACTATTAAGTAAAGGGCATTATAGGTAGTAGTATAGTATCCGATTAACGTATATTTAGGGCGCTACGAGCCGCTTCTCGAGTAGCCTCTTCCTCGGCCTTCTTCTATCTATCTTCCTTAGCCCTCTTCCTTATATTATAAATAGTACGCTACTTAGTTAATACCTCTAGACTAAGGCTTTTTAGAGTATCGATTAGCTAAAAGGTAGCGAATAGTTACTCGTACTACTAAAGCTTCTTAAACTAGTCTATAAATACTAGCGCCTTCTACTTAAGGAGATCCTAATCGATAGTAATACTCTCGTTCTATTTATTAACTAAGTTAGCGGTAGTAAAGATATTAGCGATATTAGCTAGAATCGGATTGTCTATAACCTTAGTCGATAGAAGGTCGAATCGAATACGGCTTAACTAATCTAGATACTAAAGGGTAGGCCGCTTTAATATCTAATCCTTTAGTATACTAAATCTAATTACTAGACGAGTGCCGGCTCTCGGAGCCTTAAATTTCGAGGGAGTAATACCCTCTAGAGGTATATCGATATAAAGAGCGTCTAGTTCTAGGTTATAGATATTATAGTAATCTTCTACTACTAGTAGTTACTAGGTATATACTACCTTATCCTTACCGAGATAGCGAAGGACGACTTTACGTAGATATATACCGTATTATTCGCGTAGATAGTTATTCTAGAATACCCGCTAAATCTAAGGAATCTTATCGCGAAGCTCTATCTCTTTCTTAGTCTAGTAGTTTCTATCGCTATTATTATTATTATTATTATTAGCGGCTTCTCGAGTACCTAGCGTATTAGTATCTTCTCTTAGAAGCTTAGACTAGCGGAGCCCTAATAGCTAGAATACTCTATACGATCTACGTCGGCGAGGCTTAATTAGTAATTACTAGGTAGTTAGATTCTAGCCGCGGCTACTTAAGACGATTATCGATATAGTATAGTAGGAAGATAAAGGCTAAACTACGTAGAATAGTACGACCGGTACGGCTAAGACGTTAGATAACATCCTCGATATCGCGCGTAAGAGTAAACCTAGTCTAGTAAATAAGCTTAATATCTAGTATATTTAGGCTAATACTAAAAGTAGTAGTAGCAACTATAATCCGGTATTCCGATAGCCTATCTAGATATACTATAGTCTTATAGAAGCGGTTATACTAGCGCTTCTAGTCTCGCTTAGCGATACTACTAGTATAGAATATTACTATAGTATATATATTAATACCTTTATTATCCTATATATATCGTTTCTTCTAGTCCCTATACTTAGTAGTCGTTACGACTAGCTAATGCTAAATAATATTAGCTAGATCCTAGATATACTTACGACTATTAATAAACAAAAGGGCCTTCTTAATATTTATTAGCGTAGCTTCCTTAGTCTCTAGGTCGAATATACTATTAATAGCGAAATATAGGTACTCGTATAAGCGGAGCTAATTCCTTAGAATAGTACGTAGAATATACGTAGTATCTAGACGATCGATACTACTACGAATAATCTTAGTCTAGAATAGCTAATTACTAACTAGACGAAATCTACTATATTTAAGTATAAAGTCCTCTATATCCTTAGATATTGTCGTAGAATAGCCGAGCTAAACTATATTATTACGGAGTAACTTACGTAGAGCGAAGATCTATATATATTCCTTCCGAAAGTTACGCTACTTATTAATAAGATAGACTTTATCGATTACTACGAGACCGATACGAGTACGAACCTTAGGGTCCTATAGTAGCTTCCTAAAGGCTAGACTAGTACCGGTTTCTAGACTTAGGATAATATAATAATATCTACTATTAGTAATATAGTCGTATAGCTTAGGATAGAGGCTTATAGTTTCGGAGGTAATATTAATAGCGTTAATAATACTATCTCGCTCGATCGGCTAGCTATCTAACTAGCTATCTAACTATAGCTATTAATACCGGTTCTCGACGACCTTAGCCTACTCCTTACTAAGGCGATTTAGTAGTATAAACTAGAGGGTAATAAGGCTCGTTAAATACGTAAAGGCTATAAATACTAAGCTCTTACCCTCGCCTATCTTCGAGATCTATAGAATATCGCTACCGCCGAAGATTAGCGTAAAGACTAGATCGATCTAGACGTCCTTTAGCTAATATCCTTTTCCTAGATAAAGGCGATCTAATAGCTTAATAAGGCTAGCGGTAACGATATTATAGTAGATATTCTTAGCCTCTAGAGAAGCTACGGTATTATATACAAGTTACTTAACTTAGTCCTATAATAATAGGTTATCGGCGGCGTTAATACAATCGTAACGAGTCTAGAACTATACTTTATAATCTCGCTTATTCTTAGGCTACTAGACTAGTAGCAAGTAACTAAAATCCGGGCGCTCTCGAGTTATAGCGGCGCGACCTAGAAGTACTATTAGAAAGTACTACTTAGATTTATTCTACTATCTATTAGTTTTACGCTTCTTAGCCTTATCCTTCTTCTCTCTATTACGCTACTTACGAGTGCCCCTTAGAGGTAGCGCTATTGCTATCGTATGTTTTAGTAGGCCGCGATATTATTAGTAGGCGATAGCGAGATATAATAGCGAGGTATAATAAGGCAAACAGATATCTAAAGGACTCTCTAGACCCTTCGTTAGACCTAGTCGAGTCTAGGAACGTACTAGATAAAGGAATTACTACGATTAAAGGTACACACATACTAGCAATACAGCACAGCCCTTAGTAGTAAGATAAAGGCAAAGGGTTAAAAATATAGGTATTCTAAAAGTCGGAGGTATAAGCGGCGGTTAATCTAAGAGTCTACCTATAATTTACTTAGCGTTTATATACCGTTTATATATAAGTAATACAAAGGAGGGTAGAATAAACGTAGTTACTAGAAGACCTATTTTAGAAGATCGTATCTATAGCTTTAATTTAATACTTTAACGTATACTTTATATAGCTATTTTAAAAGATCGTATTATTACGTAGAATAGCTTTTTTAGGTTTATCTATCTAATATATAGTTGTACTTCTATAAATTCGAATTCTCGTTTATATACTAGACGGTTATATAGGAGCTATATAGTTTTCTTTTAGGCGCTTCGCTATAGGCTTAGTATAGACCGCTAAGCTAGATATATATTAGTATACTTAGCGGAGAGATAATATAAGGACGTAGAGACAGAGTAGAAGGTAGAAGGTAGAAGGTACTAAATTTAGGTAGAAGGTCCATATAAGCCTACAAAGCGGGGCGCCTGAATGGAGGTAGAGCTGCGCATAGATGATCTGGTCGAGGAATAGAATAGCTAGCCGACACGCGCGGAAAATCCAGAAACCATGCCCGCCCGGAGAACATTTGGCGTGCTTGACATTGACGCTGCTCAATCGCGGCACACATCCACTCCTGGATGCAAAATTAGGTCGTGCTGGTGTCGTAAACAGCTGCTTGTGCAGCGAATGCTGTGCACCCGTCTCGAGGCAACAAGCTGGCTTGGCGGAGGCTGGGTTCTCAATACTCCTCCACCACTCTCACCACCACAAACCACCATCACGGTCACGGCACAGCAGCGTTGCTGGTATGCTGTGCAATATAGCTTGCAGATGGTGGTCTCAGGAAGAGTGATCTTAGCAAGGGCATCGTGGTTCAAGGCAGGACAATGCAATATCAGGCAAGTAATTCAGGTGGCTGGTCTTCCGATCTCCAACCACCATAACCAACCTCACGCAAACCACTAGTGTAGCTATCATGCTATACATGGCTGGCTCAACGGCCACAATGCCGACAATGACATGGTCTCTTGAGACCTATCGGCAAGCCTGTCGCTCTCCTTGCACACGCTACCAACATGCCGTACCTCGACCGCAGCCGTGAGCCAGACGATTACGAAGATGCCTACCATACTCCCCTACCTCGAAGACCACGCCCTGCTGTGACAAACTCATCCCGGTGCGACTCATCTTCACCTCGAAGAGACTCTGGACGACCGCACCCGAGCCGACGCAACAGTACTTACAGAGATGACTCAAAGTATGCGCGGGCCAATCCAGCGAGCCCAGCATACCATGGGAGAAGAGGAGATGAGAGCCGAGCACAAGATACCAGAGATGACGACCGCCGACGAGATCGAGTAAAGTCGAAGCGAGAACGAGATCCTGAGCGGGAAGCGAGAAAGGCGAGAAGATTGGAGCGCGCAGCGCAAGATCCAGATTATGCAGCTCGACGGCAGCAGCGAAGGGCATCAAGACGAGCTGATCGCCGTGCTTCCCGACAAGTCTCGCCGCATCAAGACGCAAAGTCTCCCGTCCAAGAACAGAAGGACGACTCTGCAAGCAGCAATGATGAGGCGCAACCTGCCCAGTCTCCGGCTGAAGCGCCAAATCAGCAAGTTCACAATGCTTCACCTCCATCTTCTCGCGACGAAAAAAATGATTACCAAGAGGACTCATATTGTGGGGAGCCATCGCCGCACAAAAGCAAACCAGCCCGATATCCGCAGCACCCTAAAAGAAGTCTTCCTGAAAATGATCTCGACTATCGCAAGGATCGAAATCGAAATTCCCAGCGATATTCTAGGAGACCTCGTCTCCGGCCTCTGACACGAGGCGATTCATGGCAGTCTTACGGCGACGACTGGACAGTAGACCTCGAGAATTCATCCATGGAGGAGAAGAGGCAGTATCATTCGAGTTCCTCTTCAGCGTTCAGCGAGCTTGACTTCTACAAGCGCTATACAATGCCTAGTCGACGCAATCACTACGAGGACGAAAGGCGGTGCTGCTGTGGGTTCGGCCGAAAATGCTGCGTTATCAGCTTCGTGGTGTTCCTGGTTCTCATTCTTGCAGTCGTGGTGCCAGTCGCGGTCGTGGCTTCAAAGAACCGCTTCAGCTACACGCCATCGACCGCACAGGTGAACGAGACTGCGGCCTTCACCAGCGGCGCAGCCACGCGTGATAGCGTCAACAACACGAAGGATGGCATTGGTGGTGGTCAAGACGTGTACACCAACTACAAAGGCAACGCGACAAAGATGCTTGCTGACCTGCCCGTTGCAAAATGGGTTTCATTCGAAGACATGTGGACCAACAACCTAGACACGCTGCAGAACTCATGTGGCTTGCTGGACTACGGCGAGAACGACTCTGCAGAAGAAATCCAGGACATTTACAACGCCATCCAAGATCGCGCCAACGCCTCGCTCGTCGATCATCGTCTCATTCTCGCATTCATTCTCCAAGAGTCGAAAGGCTGCGTGAGGGTTCCAAGCACCAAGTCTTCAGGCGGCGTCAAGAACACAGGTCTCATGCAGGCACACAATGGACATGAGTACAGCAAGACGCATCAGCAGGCGAGCATTATGATCATGATCCAGGATGGTGTGCAGGGCACGAAGAAAGGCAATGGGATTGTGCAGGAGCTGAATGCTTACTACGGCAATCCTTACGCTGCTGCGCGTGCGTACAATAGCGGGTATATACCGAGCAGTGGCGACTTGTCCGAAGCGGCAGGCGCCACGGCTTGCTATGTCTCCGATATTGCGAATCGTTTGACGGGTTGGGTCAAGGCAACTTCAACATGTTCGGAAACGGGACATTGAGAGATGGACAGTAACTTACGTGTTATGCATAAATATAATGTCGAGGTTTCATTGGGATTGTGAACATGTATGCGAGTGGTCTCAGCCCTGATTCTCAACAAAATGATGAACTTGGACCATGTCTTGCGGACTGACCCTTTGAAGTTTGATCCATGCAATGAATGCCTGATGCAGCTCACGATAAACAAGCAGGGGAACTGATCACGTCCGCAACATTCTCGCCGGTGACGAAAGAAGCAACAGCACAATGCGGCAAAGAAGTCCGTGAAGCATGTGAGAACCATTCCTCAATCTCCACAACCCCAAAATTTTGGACGATTCTTTGCCGCTTCCGCTTGAAGAGAAGCTCAAACGAAGAGTCCTTGTCATCGAGGTTATGAAAATCTTCGAAAGTCAGAGATCGGTGGAGCTTGATTTGCCGGAGAGGGAGTTGCGGATCTAGGTTTCTAGTGGGCGTGAATCAGTGGTCTGATGATGAGGAGTTGGTTCGTGGGTTCAAGGATGCTTTTGGTGAGTAGGAGGGATGGGATTCGCTCGTGAAGGGCAAGTCATGAGCTGAGCAAGGCTATGTACCAGGGGAGGGATCTTGATGATCTCCATGATGCCATGCATAACACCTTTCTAGGAATATGCCTTTGCCGCTACCTACGAACACCGAAAGGCGCGGTCGGCCGTACTCGTGCTCACGCCGACTTGAGAGCATTGACGCTGCTTCTCCAGGATGCTGTTGCTTGCATGAAAAGACTGGGACGTGGTATGAGGTGCCAGCTGTTGAAGGTGCTTCTGTTGAAGACCTGATTCGTGGTGCTCGTGTGCATTCTTCGGTGATGGTGTTCTGGACATGATGATCGTGCCGGAGGGAGAGAAGGCTGTACGCCGTGCCGGAGGAAGGATCATTATTGAAGCGAAATGCGAAGGCTGAGAAGGATGATCTGTACCTGCCAAGCATGCCAAGGCCCCGATCCGACGCGTCTCGCAAGACTACAGCGCGTCCTTCGGGATCGGAAGACATTGCGTGCTCCCGCAATACAGTAATGCTGTTGATATCTCACTCCTCCGCACGGTATCTCCCTTGCTTCGGCTCGCATCTACCAGAACGCTGTCCACAACACGAAGCTATTCGAGAGCGAATGGAGCAATCCGAGTGGCCAACCTGTCAGTGGCCGCCGAGCCTCTCCTTCCACGCCGAGTGACTATCTCTCGCCGCCGGTGCAGCAATGGGAGGTGGAAAGAGTTGGAGAAAGATGGAGATTGCGGCCTGCTCTTCTGCAGAACTCTCTCCCGCTTGAGAAGCATACATCGTGTGGTCCTGTCTGAGCTGAAGGAACACCAACTCGCAAATGTATGTCGCGCCTGGATATGCCACAGAGATGGCAGTGCAGTGCATCTGGGGGAACGCAATCTAGGCGGAGCCGCATTCCTCTGCCGTCCGCCTGGGTCTAGGGCATGGCATGAGCGAAAAGATCAAATCGTCAACAGATCGCCTCGCTCCTCGAAACAGCCGTGCATGGCTCTTTCCCTGCAGAGATGCGATACTCGACATGGATTTGCCCAGGAGCACGCAAAGACAGTGCGGTGTATCGCGAGTACATTGAGCCCGACCTGACAACGATAGACCGTAGAACGGGATGATGCGTGGCTGCTAATGTAAGGTGAGGGAATGCTTCCACATTCTGTACGCTCCCGTCTGCAATGTTGTGATCCGAGCACTCGGGCCGCAGACAGTTTTCCTGAATAACATCCCTACTCCCAAGATTCACGTCGCGAAGCTTTTCTGGACACACCGCGCGGCCATGATGGGGAAGCGCGCTGTTACGCTGCTAGCTTTATCGCTGGCTTCGCAAGCTTACGCACAAGCCTCTGCAAATTGTAAGCAAAGCGATGGGTTGCTTTCGGTGGCATTGACTGACCTGGACATCCAGCATCGGTGGTGACTGTTGAGGTCTATCAGTCTTGCGGCAATCCGTCCTTGACCAAGACGCTCTTTCCACCCACCTACTCCAGCAACATCTCGAGCGTGCCACCCAGTACATTCACATACTATGTCACTTCGACAACAGTGCCGCCGTACGACCGAACCTTGACTGCAAGATACACATCAACGACGATTTCCCCCAGTGGCACCAACCCAGGCACTGTGAGTTACTGGATGCTGGGTCACGAGCCAACTTGAATAAGTGCTGACTTGTGGCCGAAGGTCATTATCGTTGAACCTACGCCAGGAAGATATGTGACAACTACCACGACTCCGCCTTACGATCGCACCTTGACTGTCCCCTACACACTTACAACAATAGAGCCGAGTGGAACAGCTCCTGGAACAGTAAGCTAAAGCAAAGCCTTCGCGCAGAGTTGTGCTCACATGCATGGAAAGGTGATCATTGTCGACACTCCGGTGGCCAGATACGTTACTCGAACGGTACCCTACACAGGATCTACGCCCATCACTGGGCCGGTCACTGTAACAACAATCTTTCCAAGTATGGCGATCGGCGGCCCTGAACGAGGACATTTCTGACATTTCTAGGTGGAACCGTTCCTGGAACCTACGATGTGGCCACGCCTGGCCTCACATCCACCGAGAGCTCGAGCAGCTCAGCACCCAGCGCATCGCCTTCAATCTACATCCCTGGGCTGGCGAATTGCTCTCAGTCTTGCGTCAGCTACGACTTTGACGGATGCTCCATTGATGATCCGGCTTGTATTTGCTCCAACCCGGAGCTTGTGCGGCGATATTCATGCTGCGTGAGAGAGCAGTGTGATGGACCAGACCAAGATAGTATGTTCGCACTTCTTTTTGAGGGCCAATGTCCGCTAATGCTGGAATGTGTAGGCGTGGTCGACTTCGCTGCCAGCTTCTGTGCGGAGTATGGCATTACTGATCTTCCTACAAGTGCTGCTGAAGGATGTAATTCTACAATCAACATTCCTGGGCTACCCGATTGCTCTCAGTCATGCGTTAGCTACAACTTCGACGGCTGTTCTATCAATGACCCGGCTTGTATCTGCTCCAATCCCGAGCTCGTGCGGAGATACTCGTGCTGCGTGAGCGAGCAATGCGACGGACCAGATCAAGACAGTATGGTCCCATTTCTCTTACTAGTCAGTACTCGCTGATCAATCAATAGATGTCGTCGACTTCGCTGCCAACTTCTGTGCGGCGTACAACATTACGGATCTGCCTACAAACGCTGCTGAGGGATGCTATCCATCCTCTACGCCTGCTTCAAGTGTGAGTACAACCGGTGCGCCGAGCTCAACTCCGCTTCCGCCTGGGACCGTAACCAGCACCACATATGGAGAATATAGCAGCAGGACCACAATCACTACCATCCCGTACTCAGGGACCGTCTCAGCAACAGTGATTATTGGAGAAGGAATCACATACACGACAGTCAGGTGCTATCCAGTCATTGCTTGGAAATTGTGCTAACATGGAGTAGACTACGACAAGCCAATCCTCAATCCTCCCAACCCCAGCGCCGCCTGGCACTGTCTACGCGACCACGTACGGAGATTATTCCGATACCACTACGTTGACAGTGATCCCATACAGTGGAACTGTATCAGGCACAATCTCCATCGGTGTCCCAATTACTCGCACCACAACAGTAAGTCAGAAAGTCAGAAACCGGACAGGAACGAAGCTGAAATGACAGTAGACGACAACTTCGAGCGAGTCTCCAACGCCAGCGCCGCCTGGCACGGTCTACGCAACTACCTATGGAGATTATTCCGATACTACTACTTTGACAGTAATTCCTTACAGCGGAACCGTATCAGGTACAATCTCCATCGGCGTCCCGATCACTCGCACCACGACAGTCAGTCAGAAGGTTAGAAACCGGACAGGAATTCAGCTGAAATGACAATAGACAACTTCAAGCGAGTCTCCAACGCCAGCGCCGCCTGGCACGGTCTACGCAACTACCTATGGAGATTACTCGGACACCACTACTTTAACAGTGATTCCTTACAGCGGAACCGTATCGGGCACAATCTCCATCGGCGTCCCGATCACTCGTACAACGACGGTATTATGGCGCCATGATTTCTTACCACAAAGGAAGCTCGCTAATGGTTATGCAGACTACAACTTCGTCCAGCTCGTCTCCGATCGAACCAAGCTCTACCTCGAGCGAAAGCTCTTCGGTCTCGAGCGAAAGCAGTAGCACCTCAAGCTCGGTCTCATCAGAGTCCAGCTCGTCATCGAGTGCCTCTTCCTCTGCATCTTCGAGTGAATCGAGCATCTCTTCCTCGTCGTCATCAAGCGAATCATCAAGCGAATCATCGAGCTCTTCGTCTGCTTCATCAAGCGAATCTTCTTCGATTTCGTCAGCAGAAGCTACTACTACAACAATAACTACCACGACATCAACAACTACGACAAGCAGTTCAAGCGAAAGCAGTTCAAGCGCGGCGCCAGCTCCGACCTGCGCCTTCGCCGATGGTGTTAGATCTTTCGGTGGCAGCACTGCTTACAATGTGGCTTGTGGTCGGGACACGACTGGCCGTCCAGCCGGCAACATGTACACCACGACTGCTCGTGCTCTTTCGTTCGAGGAGTGCTACATCCAGTGTGATGGCATCGCTGGCTGCCAAGGCTTTACCTGGCTCGGTGCAACCAACTCTTTTGGCAATGGCGCTGGTGACTGCTACTTCAAAGGCACTGGCGTTGTTGGCGAAGGCATCCAATTCGATGGTGATTTTGATTCGCGCAAGGTTGCTGCGATCAAGGTCGATCAGCTTACGGTGATACCGCCTGTCACGACGACGTATGTATGATGATCCGTCATGATTCTATGATTGCTGACTTCTCGACAGCACGACTACGTACGCAAAGATTGTTTCGTACCGCCATGCCTTGCTAACTTTCTGCCAGCACCACGTCTCAGCCAGATACCACCACGTATGTGTTCCATCCGCTCTGAATCTGACCTTCGCTGACTTCTGTAACAGCACGACAACGTACGCAAAATTTCGATTCCGCTGCTGCAGCTCACTAATCGCTTTTTAGCACGACCAGCTCATTCCCAGATACCACGTAAGTATTGCCTCTATTGAAAAGGGTTTTGAAGCTTGAGCTGACATGTCGAAAGTACGACTACGTATGCAAAATCTTTTTGCGACCATGTCGGAAGCATCGCCTTACTGACAAACTTGCAGCACAACCACGTCTCTCCCAGACACCACGTAAGTATCACTTCTTGCAAACTCCTTGGCTGCCTCGCTGACCCAACTACAGTACTACCACGTATGGCGCATCGCAGTTCGTCTTTCTTGCGCCTGCTGACCTTTGACAGCACGACCACGCCATCCCCGACTACTACGTAAGTGCCTAATGCTTGCTTTGAGTTCTCAATCCCGAGCTCGACTGACTCTTCGATAGCACGACTACGTACGCGGATGAAGTGCCTCTTGAATCGATCGCGTGTGTTGCTAACCAGGTTTCAGCACGACTACACCTTCTCCAACTACAACGTATGTACTCGCGCTTGCTTGACGCTGTATTTTGCTGACTCTCTGTAGGACGACTACGTGCGCATCTGCGGCTCTTGCTGTATCTTCGAACTCTGCTGACTTGTGGATAGCACAACTACTCCATCGCCAACTACAACGTTCGTATTCGTTTTCACTCCCTGAGGAATCATGCTGACTCTTGATAGCACAACCACGTGCGCATCTGCGTCTTTCGTTGATTTATTTCTTGAATCCCAACTGACCTGTGGACAGCACGACTACTACTCCATCGCCGACTACCACGTAAGTCTTTCATCGGCTCAAGATTCTGTATCTTACTGACATCGATCACAGGACTGTAAGCCTGCCTACCTTTTACCCGCTTCTTGAAGGATAGCAAAGACAGAGTCTTCGCTTTTCCTCGTACTCTGCATCTGCTGACTTGGAGCGAAAGACTACTACGACAAATCCCACCACTACCACGAGCACGGTGAGCACGACCCGACTTCTCTTTCAGCGCTTGGAGTTGCCTTTGCTCCCTGATTTCAAGAATTCCCACCCGTTCGCCGCCTCGGCTTCATGAACAGAGACTTGGCAGCTCGTCTTTGCTCGGAGATGAAAAATACAGCAGGCGTCTGACCCAATTGCTCGATTTTCGGGCAACGTACCAGATTTTGCTTCCTGGCCTCTTACCTGCCCCGATCTTAATCACGTGAGGCGCTCGCGGATCTCGGACAGCCATGCTGACAGTATCTTCTCTAGACGACAACACGAACAACTACAAGTACGACAAGCACGACGGTACGTGGTTTCACTTTCGAAATCCAGCCATTCTTGTCACGCGAGCTGCTCTCTCTGTTTTGCGAACGTGGCAGTCTTTCAAACAACCTCGTTAGCTTACACTCATCATCCTGCTTATACTGCGCGCCTTCACTCTTGATCGGCGCTTCTCTGTTCTTGCGCCAACTCATACTCTCTGGCACTCGCAGGTTCAATCGCTGACCATCATTAGACGACAACACGAACAACTACTACGAGTACTACTACCACGACCTCGTCGTCATCGAGTTCTTCCAGGGTCATTTCGACACCGCCACCGCCTAGTAAGCTCAGGTTCCAAGAGGCAATGGGCACAGAAACACTAACGCAAGACAGGTTACGCGCCACCAGCCACGGCCACCACAAACAGTGTCAACTTGCCATCCCAGTCACCTCTGCCATGTATCCGTCAAGGTTACCTTGTTCAGAACAGAGCTTGGTACACGGTCGAGATGGATACTGGTATCCTTACGCCCGCGGGTACCATCCAGTGGGATGCAAACGTTCAGGCTATCGGGTACAACCGTTGCGATGGGCTGATCTATGGAGCCGACTCCGTCAACCGAATCATTCGATTTGGATCGGATCTTGTCCCACAGCAGTTCCTCCCAGGCACCTACAGAACCTACCAAACCGGTGATGTCGACCAGAATTGCCAGTACTGGGGTCTGCGTACTGCGGGGCCGTAAGTTGGAATTGGTGCGCTGGCTCGGTTTGCACTGGCTGACTCGTTGTGATAAAAGCAATGGTAATACCGCTGGATGGTGGATACACATCAATCTCAACAACGGTACGAGCAGTTATGGCAGTATCGTCGACCAAGGCCAATTCACCGGTGGAGGCTTCACCGGCGGCGAATACCCCAATGAGCCTCAGTACTTCTTCGCTGATTGGGCTTACGTGCCGTACGCTGGCGATGATTATCTATGGGGTAAGCATTCGAGCCATTTCAGACTGCATTGTAGCGCAGCTGCTGACTCCCCTCAGGCGTCGGTGTCGATCAAACCACGAGATTCGCCTACCTGTACCGCTTCACGAAGTCGACACTGACCTTGGACCTCGTTGCTGAATTCGGCAATATCGGTCTCACCAACGATCGAGAGGGTGTCAACCGTATCAACTTTGGCGCGGTCTATGCTTCTCCTGATGGATTCCTGTACGGCGCTGAGAACCTTTCCGGACGCATGTATCGATTTACAGTGACGCCGCCGTACAATTGGAGGTATTTGGGACCTGGAAGCAGGACTCTCCAGAATGATGGAGCGAGATGTATTGACAATACTGAGTCGATCGGAGCGTACTGATGAGAGGTAGAAGGAAGGGGAGAATGTCTCGGATTCTGTTTGACGTAAGCATTTAATGGAGGACACTTTAGGATTCGACTATAGTGCGCTATGCATGTTATGCAAAACGGTCTTGTTCGCGCCATTCGCTGCCAACGAAGTCCGCTTGGACATAGTAGGTGAAGTGTTTTGTGTCATTCTCGGCTGGTTGGCTTTTGGACGCTTCTCCGTCAAGCACGTCAACTTGCCCTTGGATAGAATACAGCCGATCAGCCTAACTATTCGATGATCTAGAAGCACAGCTAATGCAAACGCATATGTCACTACTGTGACGCATAGCTGAGGTCACATGACTCTTGGCAGCGCACGTGACTCTCGGCAAAACTAGGGAAATATTAACACCTGTTCTTACCGCCTTTTTTAGATAGAACTAGTTAAGTAGAACTACAACAATAGATACCCTTAAACAGTGTTATAATATAACTAATAAGAAGGGCGCGTTATAGTTATAAGCCCGGGTTTTACCCGCGGTATTAGAGACTAAGAAAGGAGGAAGAATTTTCTATTCTACGAGTAACAATATTAGCAAAAGGAAATTAGTTTCTACGACACTAAACAACTAACTAAAGCACCTACTATCTCTTTAAGATTATTAATATATCTTTAATAATAGCCCTCTTATTAGCTAGCCGTCTTAGTAGTACTAAATATATTACCCTTCGAGGCCCGAACGACTAGGATCGATAGTACGAGCAAACTAAGACTTATCTAATAGGTTACGAGACCTAGCTATATACTAATCCGTATACTACGCTACCTATAGAGCTAATTTAGCCTACTCTACTAGTTGTAGATAAAGAACGCCTATAGGACGACTAAGTCTACTAATAGGCAATCTATCTAGAAAAGGATTTCTATAATGTCTATATAGCTAAGTTCAATAGGTTTAGATCGGCCCGTAGCAAGACCCTCGAGTACCTAGTAACTATAATAGATATCCGCTATTACTTAGAGATTACTAATAATAATAAGCTGTCCCTACTAACCCTTCGATTAATTATAATACGACTAAAGGATAAGCTAGCGCCAAATACTTAGTAGCAAAGAACTAACTTAGTTAAAGAGCTAAATCGTTTAATCAACTTAAGGTAGGTAAAGGATCCTAAGCAGTAATATAAGGAATAGCTTAATCTATACAAAATTATAAAGAGGATATAGTATATAGAACTTAATAATATAGTTGTTCACCTCTATACTATAGTAGCTAATATAGATAAAACCTATAGCAAAGGACTCTATATAATATACTAGGCCTTACTAAACACTATCTACTTCTATTAACTAATTAGTATAGTGCGAGACTATGCCCGAAACATGTTAGGACTATCGACAAAGCGAGGAGCCTTATTTAGAATTACCTACGATATAGAGACTAGTAAATCTAATGCCGCCCTTTAAGGAGCCTCCGAAAATAAGGATAGAGATAAGGACAAGAAGGATAAGAAGGGCACCCGCACTCTAAAATCTTATATAGAACTTACTAGCGTTAGTAAGAAGAAGGCATATAAGAACCGTAGTAAGTGCTTAGTAGTTAACTACCGCCTTCGAGAGAAGGTTAAGGAGAAGGATAAGGATAGCAAATAGTAAGGAAAACTAAACTACTTTAAAGGCTACTTACGCCGAAACAAGGACTTCTATCTAAGACAAGCTAGCTTCTACAAGGACCTACTAGCTATTAAGATTGCTTAGCAGCATTATAGATATAGCAAGGCTGATAATAATATACCTAACAAGTTGTTACTAGCCTGCTTCTTTAGCCCTAACACTCTATTATTATCCTTTGTAGGAATAACTAGATATAGATAGGTTAGTATAGGAATATCTATTAGAAAATGGAACCCTTTTAATAGACTAATATATAATAGTGGATCTAATTGCTATATTATTAACTATCTAGGTCGATTCAACTTTGCTCCTCTCTTCCTACTATTAAGGTCTATAGTAGTAACCGGAATAGGCTATAATAGGGTCGTAGCTATTAGAAAGGTATTATTTACGGTTAAGGCTGTTAGTAGCAGGCCCCTATAGATTGAACTAGGAGAATGCCTATATATTCCAAACTTCTATACTAATATAGTCGGTAGAGCCCTATTCTTCTAGCGAGGATACAAACATTAGGAAATTAATAATACCCTATACGACCCTTAATAGAAGGCTCTAGTTAAGTTTATTAGACTAGATAATTAGATGCCATACTTTAATATAGTTAGTATAGTGGATAATACACCTTTACTAACTAAGTAGCTAGCTAATATAGAAGGCCGACTACTTAAATACCTATTTTGACTTAGTAAACTATTAGCATACGCAACGGCTCGCCGCTCCGCACGCCTACTACTACCGAGGCAGCTTACTCTTTAGCAGATATATAAGATCTTTAGGTACCTAGGTGCAGAGCGAGCAGAAGAGCTAGTTAATAGGGTTAATAGAATAATACGGGACCTCTTACATAGAAATAAGGTACTAAGAACACCACTTTGTCTAGTATATATATAAGCTAAGGGTAAGAAGCTTATATTTAGAAGGCTACGAAAGTATAATGTGTCAATTCTTATACTATATAGCTACATTACTGCTAATCTGATGCAACTGGATCTAGCCTACAATAGCGACTAGTATATCTTCTACGCATACGACCTAAATACTAGACTTTACTTTATATAGACAATAAGTAATCGTTAGGAATCAACACTCCTTTAGTGCTAGAACTAGTTAGCTACCTTCGTACGCAGCATTAGCAGAGATATCATCTGTTTGTTATCTAATAATAAAGGAGGCATATTAGGCTTTCGGTTTCGATCCTATCTACGTAATAACTATACTACTTAGAGGCTAATAGTACTATATACGTTAGAACAGGACCTAGCTAAGCGAGCAGGCCGCACTATTATTGAGGTAGCTCGAGCCTTAATAATATATGCTAGGTTCCTATACAGCCTATAGCTAGAAGTAGTTTATATAGCAACCTTCCTAGCTAATAGGTTACTAAGATTACGCAATGCTAACCTACTAATGCGTACACTATACGAGATTAGGACTAGGTATAAGCTAAATGTAGCATACATCTATTAGTTTAGAGCAAGAGTATACCTAGTAATCTACGGCACCGAGATAGCTAACGGCAAGAGGAAGGCTATACTACTAAATACTATAAAAGTAGCCTTACGAACACATATTAGATACCTCTATAGATACGAAGGACACTCTATCTATCGGATTTAGGTACCTTTACGAATAACGGTGCTACGTATAAGAGATGTTGTATTTAATAAGACTAGGTTCTATAATAGATATAACGCTAACCTAGGCGTTACTATAACTAACTAAGAACTAGCTTAATTTAGTAATCTCGAAGAGCTATAAGTACTAGCCTCGGAGCATTAATTTAACGATCTTCGAGAAGTATACGACACACTACTAGACCTAGTACGGTTTAGAGCTAAGGGGGTAGAAACACTAATAGGACCTAGCCGGCTTATAATAGTCGACCCTACGAGGCTAGTAGATAAACCTGTTAGACATAAACTACCTTAACAATTATCGCCGACACTACTAACTAAGCTATAGCTCGTATAGGTGCCGAAGAGGCTACGTTTAGATCTCACTAACTAGAGATTATATAAGCCTGAATTAGGGGAAGTACCTATCTATTAGGACTTTCTAATTAACCTACGCGAAGCACCGCAACCGCGTAATAATATGCTAAATAGACTAGTAGACCTAACTATTAATTAGCAACCTAAGACTAAGAACGATACTAGCAATTATAACCCTACTAATAATATAGACGCACTAGGTTACGTAGATAATATAGACATAAACTTGCTACGAGTAGAGCTAGCTAAATTGCTAATACTAATTAAAGCAGCTAATGTTTCTTATCGTTACTTATTAAACATAGGAGGGCCGCATTATCGAGCTAATAATCCGAACAAGCGACAGCGAATAGCCGCTATCTATCGAGCCGGCCGCTACTATATTAGCGATCGAGAACAAGCGAGAAACCTCCTACTATTTAGCAGCCTTTATATAGTAGTAGAATACGAAGCTCAATTAATATACGCATTAAGCGCATTAAATAGTTAAGTAGACGACAATCCGGATCCGCTACCGCCGCTTCTACGAGACGAGAATAACCTAAACCTTACTCCGAAGGTCGCTAACCTACTAGCCGAGCTACGCAATTAGCGCTAAGTGTTAAAGAGCCGGTTTAAAGAGCATTAGATACATGCTACAAGAGTGGAATTCAATAAGGCCTTAAAGATAGGTACATTCAAATAGGTAGACATAGAGCAAGCAGTAGACAACTTGCTACTACTTACCTAGGTATTCAAATATAAGAGCGATACCGAAGGAAGGCTTGTTAAGTTTAAGGCTAGAGTGTATGTAAGAGGGGACCTGTAGAAGAATACCTATTTAGATACCTATGCCTTAACACTAGCCGCACGAGTATTCCGTATACTAATAGCTATTACTGCTAGCTTTAACCTAGAGGCAGAGCAAATAGACGCGGTTAACGCCTTCTTAAATGCTAGCCTGCTATATATACTATATTTGAAGCTACTAGAAGGTTTTAAACAGAAAGGAAAGGTACTGTAGCTGCTCTAGGCACTATATAGTCTATAAGAATTACTAAGGCTATAGTACAATCACTTTACTACTATACTAGAGAAGCTCGGCATATAGCTAGTCGATAATGTCGACTGCCTATATACAGACCCCGATAGGCATATATTTATCTTCTTCTACGTAGACGACATAGTGCTTTTATATTATCGCTAATACAAGCAGAAAGCTATAGATCTAAAGCAACGGCTAATAAAGGAGTACGAGCTAAATAACCTTAGTCTACTATTATAGTTTCTAGGGATTAAAGTTATACGAGACCGCACTACTAAGCAGCTCTAGTTGTTATAGAAGACGTACGCTAAAAAGGTAGCTTAGCGATACAGCATTAATACTAAGGGCAGAAGGGCCGACTTACTATTGCTAACTAGATACGAGCCCTACGAGAAAGCCGACGATAAGAAGGCCTTATAACACCTAGATTTAGTAGCAGTACTAGCCTATTAAAGCCGTATAGGATCGCTTAACTTCGTAGCAGTACAGACTAGGCCTAATATAGCTAAGGCTATATTACTGCTGTCTAAAGCCCTTTAAAATCCACGATAAGAAGATATAGCTACTGCAAATTAGTATATTAAATACCTCCTACAAACGAAGGACCTATACTTAGAATACAATGCCGACGGACTAGCAATTACAGCGCATTCTAGCCATTAGTTGAATGAGTTCTACGGAGCTTCCGATGCCTTATATAGCGATTATAAAGGCACTAGGCAGTTATTAGAAGGATGGTTATTCAGCCTATTTAATAGCCTAGTCGACTAGAAAGCAGCAAGACAATTAACTGTTACTAAATCTACGACTAAGGCTAAGCTGCTAGCCGTATTACATGCTGGCTTAGAGCTAATCTAGTAGAAGCGATTCTTTAACAATATTAGTCTTATATTAGACACAGTGCCTATGCTATATTGCGACAATACCTAGACTATTCGCATTATTAAGGCTAATGCTAGTAAACTAGACACTAAGCTTAGGCATATAGATATCTACTAGTATTAGCTCCGCTAAGAATATAAAGTAGGCTAAATATAGTGCGAATACCTAGCTATATAGGACATGCTAGCTAATAGACTTACTAAACTCTATAGACTACAGAACTAATAGAGGTTTATACAGCAACTTAGGCTATTAAGGCTACTAACTAATAAACTATACGAAGACAACTCTATATAATAGGTAGTGGTAGCCCCCCCTATTTACTATTAATTGTAACTAAGTCAATTAAGTACACCTTTATCGATTAGCGCTAGCAAAAGTGTCTAATACGATAGCGACGACTAACTAGGGTAGCGGATCTAACCTTACTTCCTAATACGTTATTGTCGCCTATATTATTACTTCGAACGTTACTTCTACTAACTAATAACAAGTCTGCGGCGATTGTATTAGTGCTAGTAATAATAGTGTAGTAGTCTTAGCTAAGAGTAGCGTCCTTAGTTAAGTTACCTATCCTAATTTATTAAATCTGTTTAACTAATGTATATCCTTACTTAATCCTTCGTCTAATTAAATAGACGCTACCTATGCGATTGATCTAATAAACGATAGTAATAATATAAAGGGCTTAGTTCAATTTAGTTAAACTAACTTTACTATACGATACGAGTACTTAGATAAGGCTTAATAGTGTCGGTCTATACTTAGACTACGTAGGAAGACAATAGTTCCTAGTAATAGGGACTATATATAAAGGTGTACATACAGTCCGGATTATATAACGATATCCTTCTAGGGTAATCGGGGTATAAAATAAGACTCTCTTATATGCAGTATAGATTTAAACTAATTTTTTATTGTTTTAATAAAGCACTATATAAGAAGTTAAAAAGATTAATTTTTCTTTTGTTTGTATATAAAGAAGCATTAACTACCTTGCCTAAAATAGAAGGCAAGCCTAGTTTATATAAGCTAAGGGGGTGTGTAACGCATAGCTAAGGTTACATAACTCTTAGTAGCATACGTAACTCTCGGCAAAACTAGGGAAATATTAACACCTGTTCTTACCGCCTTTTTTAGATAGAACTAGTTAAGTAGAACTACAACAATAGACACCCTTAAACAGTATTACAATATAACTAATAAGAAGGGCGCGTCACAACTACTACTACGCTCGCAACGATAATATAACCGTCGCAGGCCGGAAGAATTACGTTAGCCGTACGCCGGGGTCCTAGCGAACCTAGGTTATATAGTATACCGCCGATTACACTATTATAGCGACTTCTCGGATCCTTGTAGAACTAGCATATATACATCTATACTACAAGCATCTAATAACTGTTATATGCAATCGGGTTGCCTTTACTCCTATAAGGTTGGCGTCGGCTTATATAGAGTTCGATTAATGCGGCTAGAATATCGCCTATCGCTACCTAGCACTTATACCGAGCCCTAGCTACCCGCCCGAGCCCTAGTAGATATACTAATATAGAATCGCGCTAAATGAGATTATATACTGTTTCTACCTATTATATATTATATCTATTCTTAGTTAGTAGCGCGGAGCGCGTTACCTAGGAATTCGCGCCTCTAAGTCTACTATAGACCTAAAATTCGCATTTCTTCCCCCTTTTATAGTAGATTGCCTAGTAACTACCGAAAATAGCCGAATCTCTATTATACGAGGCATATATTAATAAGTTTCTCGATAATCTCGTCGCTAGCAGCGGTAATAGCGGTAGTAGCGCGGCGGCGGTAGTAGAAGGTGTAGGAGGCGCGGTAGTTATTAAGTTGTAGGAAGAGGTAGAAATAGAGGTAGAAGGCGCGCTTTCGGCGGTAGTTATCGAGTCGTAGGAAGAGGTTTAATTTGTCTCGGAGATACGTATTCGAGGCCGCTCGCGCTTACTATCGCTACCGCGCGAGCGTATATCTCTACCTAAATATCGATTAGTCTCTCTAAGGCCGTAGAAGTACCTATTCTCGAAGAAAGCGCTCTGCCGTAGACCTATACCTCGCGAAGTCGACTTTGTATCGTATATAGCGCTCGAGATATATATATAGGAAGAGTTTAGAAAGGTAAAGGGGTACGAGTTTAAGGAGTAGAAGCCGCGGAAGAATAGCAAAGGCGTTAAATATCGCTATCTCTATATCTATAGGTGCTTTAGTTAGCCTAATAAAAGGACGTAGAATACGACTCGAAGGAAGATAACAACTAAGAAGATAGGGTATTAGTTCTACTTCTACGCCGTTGCTATCGACCCTTCTAACCCTTCTAGTAGCTAGACTATCCGCTATTCTAATAAAGAAGCTTACTGTTACTATAACTATAGACCTAACGACGTTGTTAGTCTTACTATCTATAGAAGTCGCTTAAGAACGGCTAATTTCCTCGAGCAACTAGAACGGCTTTAGTCCGCGCGAATGCTAACGTCTAAGATAATAGCCTATTTCCGAGGCCGTAGTGTTATTATTAAACTATAAGACCTATATAATGTCTCTTAGCTTCGCAACCTTAGCGTACGACGAGAAGCTAATTAAGCCGAGCGGATAGTTAAATTGCTCGAGGAATACGATATCTATAAGGATATTCAAACTAGACCTAATAGCGCTATTAAATCTATAGTAGCTCTTTATCTAGTCTTAATTGAAGCCTTTAAACTAACGCCTTATACGCTTGTACTAGATACTACGTATTCGACTAATCTATACAACCTCGAGTTACTAGATATAGTCGCTACTAGACCTTTAAATAATACGATTAAGCTCGGTATTAGCCTTGTCCGTCCGAAGCCTAATAAGGCCGATTTTGTACAACTTCTCAGGTCTATTAAATAGGCCTTTAAAGCCGCCGGATGCGCTATACTACTAGTTATTAGTACTAACCGTAAAGAGGCATTAATGCTAGCTTGTAAGGAGGTGTTTCCTAACACTAAGAATATTGTCTGTAACTAGTATCTATAGCAAGATATACTTACTCGAGTACGTAAAGAACGAGGCGAGTTTATATAGGTTAAGGACGACAATAGCGGCTAGACTAATAGCCCTTAAACTAGCTAGTTTATAAAGCTATTTGTCTATACTATTTATAGCTAAACCGAAGACGAGTTTAATAGCAACGCTAATAAACTAGACAACGTCTATCCTATGTTTAAGGCCTATCTTTATAAGAACTAGTAGCGCTATAAGTAACAAATAGTCGACTGCTAGACTAACGAAGTACTCTACTTTAGTTACAAGACAACCTTACGAGTCGAGTCTTGCTATAGACAGATTAAACTATAGCTAAACTATAGCAGTCGCTACGATATCTTTACGCTCTTTAAAGCACTTATTAAGTAGTAGAACGAGGGTTACGACCGCCGCCGCTATACACTTGCTAACAATCTAAAGCGCTATAATAAGGCTATTATTAGTCTATTCTAGGCAAGCGTATCTCGAGTAATTAGCGACTACTACCTTCTCGAGGTATAATAGCTCTACGTATATACTATAGCACTTCTAAGGACTACGACTAACGATAATAGCAACGAGATTAAGCATTTAGCCTTCTCGTATAGCTGCTTATAGTGCCGCTATAACGACTACCTTAGTAGGACCTATAGTTATCCTTATATATACGCCCTAATAAAGATTCTCGAGACAGGTAGTAGTCGTACTATGCTATTGCTAAGCTACTTCTACGCTTACTAGTATATCGACTTCTCGAAGTTGCTACGTTTACGAGAGCCTGCTATAGTATATAGCAACTGTAAACCTATAACCGGCGGAGCGACACTATACTTAATAAAGCGCGTAGTAACGGCTCGAGAATTAGACGACCTAAATAAGACTACAGTTGCTAAGAAGTAGAAGATAGCGATAGCAAGAACGACGGACTTCGTACTCGAGCCTAGTATATTACTTACTTAATTAAGGACGACTGTCGAGCACTACAAGTACGTAAAGAGCTAATGCCGCACTTAATAGTGCCCTTACTAGAAAGCTAACCGAGCGTATAGCTCTACCTGCTATCTAGTAGGCTTCGAGTGCTATAATCTACGTACTAAGCTATTACTTCCGGACGCTCTATAACCTCCTTCTAAGCTAGATCTACTACGGTAAGAGGTTAATAACCTACGTACGCGTAAAGAATAGCGCTTACTCTAGCAGATTAAATATAGCCGATAGTAGGCGGCGTTGTTTAAATAGTAACAACGATAGGCTGCTTAGTAGTAATAGCAGCAATAGTAGTATTAGTATTTACTAACATAGTCGATAGGACGGCTACTTTACTACTAGGTGCTATAGCAATAGCACTATTAGTTTACTTAGTAGTAGCATTATATATAGTAGTAGGCGAGTTAATAACTAAGAGACTAATATAAGCTAGTATATATAGCCTCGCGTAGTTACAAGGCTGTAGGTCGTAACCCGCTTAGACCTAAGTAGATAGCTAGCAACTAATAATACCTTGAATTTTGCTATACTACTAATTTGCTAACAATCTTTAGCTTTATAGATAGTAGCAGTATGGTTGCCTAGTCGGAGATGGTTGCGGGGATGCGATTATCGCTTCTACACGCGATTTAGTTAGTAACAGTCGATCTTATAATCCACGTATCCACTGGGGCTCGGGCGGGCAGCTGGGGCTCGGTATAAGTGCCAGGCTGTCGCCAGCGCTTCGGGCCTCTGGCGCTACCCAGTCTTATCCTGCCACGACAGCGAAAGTGGGCCCACGACACTTCCCTCTCCCAAGGACCCAAAGCACGTCCACCACGTCCACCACGTCCTACACCTCGGCGCCATTGGACGTCCACCGATCCGCGCGAAGCGTTACACATGCCATTGGCTGTTCCGGATCATCTGTGAGCCTCCGGAAAAGGCAAGGCACAACGACGCATGAGCACCCAACTCCCTAATTGCTAGTCCCGCCGTGCCATCCTCTCCTAGTCTCGACTTGCATCCTCGCGATCCAATGCCGTCGCCCTGCAACAACCATGTCGTGGAACGTGGCTCGAGTCGGACGACGTCTGCAATCTCAATGGTTCACGCTCAGAACCCTCCCTCAAACATTGACCCTCGAGGGACCTCACGGGAGGGTGAGCGAAAGCCATCGCGTTGCCGATTCATCACAGTGTCTCGGTGCTGTTCTGCAATCCCTGCCAGCTCTTGTCCATCTTCATTCACCCGCTGTGCTGTCACTTCCCCCATCTCCTGCCCAAATGCACGTCATCTCACTCTCTCCTGAACAAGAAGCATATCTCACCTTCGCTTGCCATGTCATACCTTTGCGAGGACGTCTGCGTTGGCAATTATAACGTAGTCCCCTCCTGCCCAAGGGCAAAATTGTTCTTCCTACACAACGCGCTTCCGGTCCCTCGACACCATGTCGATCGACGAAGTCAAGAACAAATATGGATTCACAACAGTACGCATTGCAACGTGGAGAAATCCTGCCGAGAGCACGCATTGGGCGAGAGGAGGGCCCAAAACGCCGACGATTTCTGCTGAAGCAGCCGCGAAACCTTACATTCCGAAATTCAAGGTCAAGTACAAGGTGCCGGAGCCGACAGATGATGAGGAGTCAGATGAAGAAGAGGAGGTCAAGAAAGATGAATCGGTAGCAGGTAAGTTGTGACTCCTGTCAGGGCGCCGTGGATTGATTGAGTGTGCTGATTCTTGCCGGCCCTGTTTAGAGTCAACGCCGGAGTCCGAAGATCCTGTCAAAGAAGGGGGGAAAGAGGAGAGCTCTCCAGTGGATGAACCACCACCTCCTGTGAATGATGAAGGGGGAATTTCACCTGTGGAGCAGCCAGCCAGTGAACCTGTTCCACCAGAAAGTCCCAAAGACGACTCTTCGCCTGTGGAGCAACAACCCAGTGAATCTGTTCCACAAGGAAGTCCCAACGACGACTCTTCGTCTGATCAGCCAGCCGACGTCCAGCCAGATGTTACTCAACCAGATGTCGTCCAGTCAGATGTTACTCAACCAGATGTCGTCCAGTCAGATGTTACTCAACCAGATTTCGTCCAGTCAGATGTCGTCCAGCCAGATGAATCAGGCCCATCACCAGAGTTAGCGGCCGAAATCGAGCCTGCGAATTCAGCTCCCAATGAGGACATGGGCGCCGGATCATCAAGCGAGTGCAAAGACGAAAGCGAAAGCCCATTGCCGCCAGATGAGCCTTGTAATGAGCCTGCTCAAGAGACAGCCGATATCCCCGTTGAGAGTGACAAACCTCCTGGGGGCAACGAAGGGCTGCCGAACGATGGAGATTCAAGTGTCGAGAGTGAAAACCCTCTAGGGGACAACGAACAGCCGTCAAACACTGGAGATTCAAATGTCGACAATGATGGGGCTAGCGAGGTACAGCCTGACGAGTCAGTAATAGACGTACCACCTGAGGCTCCAGACCCACCCACGCTTTCGGAAGACATCGCAGAGCCAATCGTCATTGGCGCCTTTCCCAATGATGATCAAGATGAGAAAAAGACGGTACAATTTGCGCCTGGAACGCCCGAACCCAAGCCAACACAGCGAAAGAAGAAAGCGGCCAAGGGCGCAAAGGGCAAGAAGAAGAAACAAATAATACCTGTCTCTGATGAAGGAAATTCGGACGACATTGTGGCTATTGTCGAAGGACCGATAGACGAGCCTCAAGTCGCGCCGGAGTCCGAGCAAACTCCTGAGCAGACAATCTGTGAGCCGGTCCAAGAAGAGGTCGACAGCGGACCGGTCGTTGAGCCTCCTGAAACGTCCACCGAGACGCTCGATACCAAGCAGGAGTCCAGTGAGCAAGCCTCTCCAGAGCCAGAGACTATTCAGGCTGCAGTCGACGGCACATCGGATGACAGCAACAAGTCAGAGTCAGAAACAGCCCATGTCGATGTGGTCGAAGAGGCACCGCCACCAGCGCCAAAGGAGGAGCCAATACCGGTCGAGAAATCCACGAAGAAGTCATGGAAGAAGGAATCGAAGAAGTCATCGAAAAGCAAGGCTAAAGAACGCGAGCCTGAGAAAAAAAGCAAAAAGTCATCGAGGAGCAAGTCATCGAAATCTGCTGAGCCGCCTGTTGGCTTGGGTATTGTGGTTGAGGATATCCCGCCTCCGATTGAGCCTGCTGTTGTCGATGACAAAGCTGAGGATACTGTGGTTATGGAGCCTCCAGGTGAAGGTTAGTGGTTCTTTTTTTTTTTCTTGAACTCATGGGTAGTGCATGTTCACCTCTGCGCGGTGGCGATGGGATTGCACGTGACTCACGCAGACTACATCGTCTTGCCGCATCGGAGTGGATCCCGTACCAAATTCCGCAACCCTGGGTTTCGTTAGTTTCTGCCTTCACTCCGATGCGACAAGGCGATGTATGTGATATCTGTGGAAGCGATCGGCTAGTTAGCTATGTTCGAGAATGGACAAGAGTGGTCGCTAACTTGTTGCTCTCAGATACCAAAAATGACCCAGTGGAATCGGAAGCACTTACTAAAGTGGTGCAAGAGCCTTCAGATGAGCCTCAGTCAACAGATCCTTCTGGCTCGGATGTGCCCTGTTCGGAGGGCAATACTTCGGCAGAGCCCCTGAATTCGGACGATAACAAGGATAATGAAGTTCCTGCAGCTGACGTTGTTTCTGGGAGTGATCTTTCGCATGATCAGTCGCAAGAGATGCAAGAGACTGGTCCTGACAATGAGAATGAGATGGAGTCAGCCGAGGTCAAAGTGTTGGACGATTCCAAGTCTGAAAATGCCTCGGGACAAGACGAGGTAGAGGATGTGCCAAGTCCGCTCGATAGCGCTATCGATCTCAACGAGAGTAAGGAGGTTGGAAAGTTAGACGAGCAGCCGGTCGAAGATGAGATTGAGGACGACCTCGTGGTCGTAGTGGAGGAAGAAGGTAGCGTTGTCGATGATGTGATTGTGATCGAAGAGGGCTCGGAGAGCGGAAACGATGATGTGGCAGATGACAAGTCTGAGAAGGATTGTGGTGTCGAAAAAAGTGCCGCTAGTCAGGATGAGCCCGAAAATGAGCAAGCAAGCGTGGCAGACGTTGCAAGGGAAGAGGGACTATCGAAAGATGAGACCCACGAATGTCAACCCGACTCAATTCCGGAGGCGGACCAGGGAGGAGCGGAATCGGCAATTGACGACAAGCTTGAGGAGGCTGGCTCATTGTCTGATGCAGAGAAGTCAATCGACGCGGAGCTTGGCAGTGCTGAGACTGAAGCTGCGAGCATTGTTGCAGAGGCTGCTATTGAGTCTGCACCAAGTGCGTCGGGCCAGATCGCTAAAGAAGACGAGACGATGGATTCGCCACACGAAGATTTAGCAGCGATAGAGCTTGACGGGAAAGTTGAAGAGAGTGAGGGACCAACGGGAGAGACCTTAGAATCAGTGGCTATTGAAGCCAATGAAAAGACTGACGAGGCGGTTGATGATGCTCAAGACGAATCGACCAAGTCAGAAGGCCATACGGAGGCAGAAGGAAGCGATGATTCCCAGACTGATGGGCCATGTGAAGATGCTGTTCCAGAGTGCAACAAGGAGGCTCATAGCGAAGCAGGAGATGATAGCAAGGACGAAGAATGGAAGTCTGAACCTGGTCCTGTGGGTAGCACAGCAGAAGCTGACGCATCAGATCAATCCGAGAACAGCGCTGAGGAAAACAAGCCCGCAGAGGACGAGCAAATTTCTACGCAGTCAGAGAAGGATGAGAGCCCACCCGAACCAACCCAAAATATCGTTGAAGTTGAGCCTTCTGTTGATAAGCCAGTGCCAGAGCCAACCAAAGAGGTGGAGGCTGCTACGGAGTCACCCTTGGAAGGGGAAATGGTTGAACATGAGGCTAGTCAAGAACCTGCTCAAGAGGTCGTTGCGGAGACAGCTACAGAAGAGCACAAGGGTGGAGCTCAGGCTCCCAATGAGCCCGTTGCAGAATCTGTTGATGAGGCGCTCGTCGAACCTGCATCCGAACCTGTCATTGAAGAGCCAGCAGTTGAGGAGAAAGCAGTTGAGGAGCCAGCAGTCGAGAAATCAGCTAGCGAGCCCACAAGTCAGCCCACAAGTGAGCCAGCAATCGAAGAACCAGCAGTAGAGGAGCCGCCAGTCGAAGAGCCACCAATCGAGGAGCCAGTAGTTGAGGAGCCAGTAGTCGAGGAGACAGCAGTCGAGCAGCCAGCAGTCGAGCAGCCAGCAGGTGAGCCCGCAAGTGAGCCCGCAAATGAGCCAACAGACAAGGCACCAATTGAACCTCGGCCTGAAAGTGACAAGAAAGAGGATGCGATCAAGGTAGATGCCGTGCCAGAAACACCTCCTTCTCCCACCTTCAGCCGTAGCAGCAAAGACAAGCACAAGGCAGACCACTGGGAGCGACGACACAAAGAGCACACTCGCGACAAGAAGAATTCCGAAAAGTCGCGCTCAAGCAAGCACAGCAGTAGCCGACGCAGCCGATCCGACAAGCCACGAACGCCGGAGCAGGAAGAAGAGAGACGCCGAAGACGAGCTGTCCGCAGGGAACAAGAAATCGCTCGAATCTACGAAGAAGAGCGGCTCCGCGCTGAGGAGGAAGAGCTCCGACGCCTCCGGCACGAAGCACGACGAGCCGCCAGAAAAGCAGCCGCAGAAGAAGCAGCAAGACTAGCACGAGAAGAAGCCGAAGCGATCGCAAGGCAAGACGCCGAACGTCGACGACGACGACATCGCGATCCCAAACCATCCCCATCATCTCCTTCCCCCAAACCCGGATTTTCCTTCTTCCGTACGAATTCCGATGCTCCAATCCGGCAGAGCAATTACACATCTTCGAAGCCATCTTCATCTTCTCGATCGAGTGCGCCACCGCCGCCCCCGCTAGCAAAAGAGAGGATTTTGGAAGATCCGCCTCCGAGTGAGGAGGTTAAAGACGCGCCGCCAGCTTCTCAAGATACCTCTTCCCACCACCACCGAAGACATCATCATCATCATCATTATCGCTCGTCGCGTGGTGAAGGCCAAGGCCAAGGCGAACGTCGAAGGCATGAGAGCAGAGGCGAGCACGAGCAGAAGAAGAGTTTCTTCCGCTCGCTTTTACGAGCATTCTGAATAATAATAATTCGGAGGATCGCATTTCGGATACGTGAGGCGTCTGTCTGCATTGCATTTAGGCGAGCGTTACGCGGTTACGTTTGTACTTTTTTTTACTTTTGCTAGGCCTTAGGTTCTCTTTAGAATAGAATACTTAAGTATGTTCTTCTTTAAATCCATCCTAGTAAGTATACTTAATCTACTTTTAGATTTCTGTAATTTATATTCGATATATACTTTTAGTTTGTCTTTAAGTTGTCTTTTACTCTATTTATCTTTTATTCATCTTTTATTCATCTTTTATTTATCGAAAAGACTAGCGTCCTTGATCGTGCTCGCAAGGCGGTGTTCGAGGTGGTCTGTGCGCTGAAATTGGAATAAGGTTTCGCGATTGCCACATTCTCAGATCTCGTGGTTCAAATCTTCACATGTAATGCGGCAGCACACTCACATTCGCCGTGTCTGTATTCAGTTTCAGGAAGCGCATGTCAGTCAATGCCATTAGCTCCGAGATTCATCCTAGTGGACACGACGATACATAGATCTCCATTACTATCAAGTAGTAGTAACACGACCCAAAGCCGGCTTCGACTTCGTACCTCCACGCGCAATGGCCTTCAGCAAATCCCCATGATCAACGACTTTCATCTTCACTGGCGACCTCGCCGGCCACCTACTATCCCGCTTCTTGTCTTCGTCCTCGGAGGAGTTGACGGCTGTAGTCGACTGGCTCTCTGATCGCGCCGATTGACTTGGCTTTCGTTCCGAATCGTCGACAACCTTCCCCTCCTCACCTGTCTGGGGCTCATCGGAAGCATATGAAGTCTCGGTCTTGGGCAGGTCGTCGACCTTGACTCGTCCATCTTTCGGTTCCTCCATCGCCGGTGGACGTGATGTCGTGGCAAGGTCTTTCTCCTTGCTACGATGCTCGGCCAAGTACTTATGGATATCTTGGCCCTCTTTTCGCACCTGGAGCGTGCGTTCAGCAGTCCGAATATTCTCCAGAACGCCCGCGCGCTGCCACGCTCGCTTCTCTTTGTTCAACTTGAAACGTGCAATGATACCACCGCCGACCACACCGTATTCCTCGTAAGCTGCACTCCAAATGTCCTCATATACCTTCCAACCTTCGTCGACCTTTTCCTCGATGCGCCGCAGCTGCTCACGACCTTGCGGATCAGATTGTGCCTTCAGAGCCTGGTAGTCGCGATAGCCCTGCACGAGATGTGATCTGCGAATGTTGTGCTTCGAGCCCAGATTGTCGTGAGTCGTCTTCTTCCGGATGTATATCATGACACCTTTTCCGGCATATGCTGGAGGTGAGACTACAGCGCTGAGATTCTTGAGCACGAAGCCGCCAAGCCCTTTGCCAAACCCAGTCCCCATGCCTGCCAGTTTCGAAGTAAGAGTATCGCCATCTTTGAAGCCACCAACAGGCTGAGTGACAAGTCCAGTCCATGCATCGTAAATGCCGTACCAAAACTCCTTTCGGGCTGCTCGACAGCCAGACTTGACTCCAGTGATCCTAATGGGCTTGCGTACTGTGGCATCTCCGTACAATCTAGGTGCATTGTGGAAACCTTGAGCAATGGCCATGTGAAGGTCGTTTGGCATCGTCAGAAAAGCCCACCCAGACTGCTTGATGCCTTCTCGAACGTCATCAACAAGTTCTCGAAACACGTGCTGTGGGGGATCGGCTGACAATGTTGAGCCCAGAGTATTTGATGTCTCGCCTCTGTTCGTCGTAGGACGCTCAAGCTCTTTGGTCGCTTGCGGCTCTGAACATCGCACTTCCGCTTTCTCCTGCTTGCGCTGCTTGCGATCTTCCTTCCTCCTCTGATGTGCAGCCTTTTTCCGTTCATGCTCTGCTCGCCTCTTGAGGTGCTTGGCCACCCGAACAGGCACCATGCCCATGCCCGCACCAATGCCGTAAAGAGAATCAGTCACAGCGCCAGCCATTCCGGTCAAGGGCTCCCCAGGGCCATCAAAGTCATTCCAATATACCTTGTGTAGAAGTCGCAGGTCATGAGGTCTGATCTTGCCTTTCTCTTGCAAAATCTCAGCTGCAAGTGTCGAGAGCTTCAACGCCGATCCTTTGATCCGCCATTCAGCAACTCGATCTTCCAGCACGGAGCATCTTATACTGTTCATACCACTCAAGGGTAATGCTCGATGGAATGACTTCACGGCATTTGCAGCGCCGTCGCCTTCTCGGGCAATGTTATCGGCAAGCTTTTGAGCATTGCGCTGCGCTTCCTCTGTCAAGCACTGCTTGATGCCCTCGGCGAAATTTTCCGCTGTCAAGCGCTTCCACGGAATGACTTCTTTGGCGCCGGCACCTGCTTCGACAACTCTGGCTGCCCAGAAAGGTTGGTCCCCAAAGAAGGGTATGATCATTGTCGGCTTTGCGCATTTCAGACCGATCGCTGTAGTCCCAGCACCGCCGTGATGCACTACCGCCTTGACCTTTGGAAAGAGCCAGTCGTGGGGTGTGTTCTCGAGCATGAAGATGTTTTCAAGAGTATCGTCATTTCCTCTGCCCAGTCCGCCCCATCCCTTGTTGACCACCGCTCGAACTTCAGCGATCTTCGTTGCTTCGAAGATCATCTCGGTGAACTTGTTAGGATCGTCGACCACGATGGACCCGAAACCAATATAGACAGGTGGTGGGCCCGCATCAAGAAACTTCTGTAGCTCTTCTGGAGGCTTGAATGTATTGGCCATTTCCAGAAAGACGAAGCCAGAGATGTCGATCTCGTCGCCCCAGTCCGCTGGCTTCGGCACCAGAGATGGACTCCACATATATGTGTATGGCACCTTCATGCGATACAATGCGCCAGGCGCCCAGAGCGAACTCACCGGCTCTAAGCCCAAGGTCTTCACGCGGAATTTGTTTACGATATCCCCAAGACCCTGCCAGGTCATCATTTCCACCAATGGATACGACATGAAGTTGACGTAGTTAGCATCAACATTGCTCTTTCCTGGTTTGATGTTGGCGAGAGGATGCGGGAATGCTTGCGTAGGTGAGTATGGAAATGTAAACATGATGTGTAGAGGTATCCCAAGTCTTTCGGCGATGTGCACATGTGCCATGCTCGGTGGATTCGCGATGATCGCGTCCGCAATGAAGGGTGCCTTGGTACCCATAAGCTTCAGGTTCAAGACATCCTTCTCATCGTCCGTGGAGTTCGTGCAAGCGCGATACATCCCGTCGAACATTTCACCCATCGCTTTTCGCCTCCTAGGAATCTCGCCTTCCCGAATGGTAGATAGACTGGGGATTAAACCTGGGTTCTTGACCATGAACGCCATCAATTCCGATGGGTCACCGCCAACGCTGAAGAACTCCAGCCCGCTGTCCTTTTCCACGAAGTCTCGGAAAGTTGGGTGCGTTGCTATCCGCACGCGGTGCCCATATTCATCCCTCAAAATTTTACCCACCTTGATGAATGGCTGAATATCACCGCGAGAGCCAATGATCATGATGACGATATTGAGGCGAGGCCATGTATTCGCAGGATGCAGGGGCGAGGGAGCCTTTTCCAGGTCTGCTGATAATGCACCTGCAGGATGATCAGAAGACGTATGCTGTCTCTGCTTCCATCCTCGTTTCCGGTTGGGTATATCCAGGTGATGTCTTATCGTCTGCCCCAGCGTCTTTGCGAGGTATCCACTGTTCGCTGTCTCATTGATTGAAATATTCAGACGTCCATCGCGTTTCGAAACTCTTCCCTTGGTCTTTAGCTGATCATTGCAGACCTTGAATCTGGAGTATGATCGTCCTTCTTTGGCATTCTGCTTTGCGATATCTTTGTCCTTGGCTGATACCGTTCTTGTGGCTCGTCTTGGCCTAGCAGGAGCGCGTCGCTCTGCCTCGTCGTCAGACGAAGATGAGTCGCTATCCGAATACATTGGGTCGAAGGTGTACTCGCATGCAAATCGGTCTCTTCGCATGGCACGCATGAGCGTACTGCTTCTCGTGGGAGCTTTCGGTCTTGTCGGAGGAGCTGTCTGAGCTCGCTTCAGCGCCGCTCCGTCTAGTATGGCATTGTCAGGTCCACGTGAGGGAGTTGTCGTGCTCTTCTTGGGCGGTTTCACGTCACTCGCACGCCCCGGTAAATCCGAGAAGTATGACCCGCCATTCTCTTCTGCCTCTTCTTTGATGCAACTGCCGCCTTGGCTGAGATGGGCTCCAAAGTCAATACCACTTATTGGATGCGTTGGTACAATCGAGTGTCCAGTCTCGTCGGTGAGGAGCGCTGGCTCGCCAGCACTGCGAGGCACATCGAGTCTTCGGCTTGTATCTGGAGTGGCCATCGTGCTATACGATTCTGCTGTTGTAGATCTCGCTCTCGCTGTTTCAGACGTGGACCTGCTTCCGAAACGCGACTGGAACACGTCCCCAAGCCAGTCCTCCTCCTCTTCTCAAGCAAGGACCAGGAGCGTAAGTCAGAGTTGTGTTCGGTATGTCGTGGTGTGACGGGGAGGAAGGAAAGGCATACAGCCTACCTGGCAACCTGGAAGGGAGACGGCCTTCTGCAGTGAAGATACGAGTGGAGGTGCGCGCTGAGCAGCGGGGACCGAATATAATACCGCATGCACGGTGCAGGCCCACATAGCGCGGGCCTTCCGCAACGGACTCGGTGAGATGTAGAAGTCCGCGCCGTAGTGTGCGTGACCATAGAAAACGTGATCTCGTCGTCGGCGCGCGTCGCTATTGCTAGGTCGACGGTATAAGGGGGATAGTAGTAGTAGTAGTACGATTTCCGCTCGCATACTAAGTATCGATAGTAAGAGGGCAGCGTATAGCATTTAATAGCGAATTTGGTAGGATTTATACTGCTTTAACGACCCCGCAATCTCTACTAATAGATACTAGGTATATTACTAAAAATAAAGCTAAAGTTTATTAGCAAAATAGCGGTATAGCAAAATTTAAGGTATAGTTAGCGATTATTGCTATTTTACTACTATTTTAATAGCGTTAATATATATTAGAGGGTAGCGGTATATAAGGCATACCGCTATAAACTATTATCGCGCTCGGAGGCGCGTATTACTACCTATTTGTCGCTAGTAGTATCGGTAGAGGTATATAAGGACTATAAGTTACTATCGCGGTAGTATCTGTACCGCTTACTACCGCGCTAGTAGTAGTAAGCGGCGCGGAACACGCGTTAGTACTAACTAGAACCGCCGGCCGTAGCTTAGAACTAAAAACACGCGTATTTGTCGCTTATAGTATTCCTAATAGTACCTATAATAGTTCTACCTCTTTCTCGGACCTCTTACGCTTCTAGCTCTTACTCTATATCGCGTCTACCGGCGGTAGATTAAGAGGGTAATAATATTGCGATATTATATTATTAGGCAATAGCGCTTATAATAGCGCTAGCTTTATAGAAGATAGCGCAACCTCGCGGTTAGGTCGTTATTTATTAAAAGCGCGTATAAATAACTCGGTAAACTAGCGCCTTATATTATTACCTACTTCGTAGAAGATACGGACAGCGTCTCGTATTATAGTAGCGCGCTTAATGTCGTCGTCGTTAAGGCCTTCTTCGTCGTACTTATACTCTAATTTAAAGATTATCTCGTAATAGTCGTTTATTATTTTACGGATCTCGAGACAATAGCTATTATTAATAATAGCCGCTATCGCCGTCGCTGTCGCAGTTATATTAGCTTATAGAGTAAGGTTGTCGGCCTTTATTAGAGTCTCGTAGATCTCGAGTCTACGCTCTTTAAATATGCTAATCTAGTAATGCTAGTAACGCTCTTTAATAAGGGTACGGTAAAGCTAAATATAATAAAACTAAAGATAGGAGCAAAGGACGCGCTATTGCCTAAAGAAGCGATAGTCGTAGGTTAGTAGACCGAACGTGTTATACTTAGCAAAGGCGATAGGATCGTAGAATACTATAGAATCGTTAGCGCGATTAATCTTAGCGCTAACCTTACGCTATATAGGCTATAGTAGGCGTAGAAGGTATTCTCTAAGCTCGTCGTCGTCTCTATAAGTAAGAGAATATATATTAACGGTCTAGTGGCGCTTAATAAGGAAAGAGCGGAGGTCTTTATTAGCGACTTCTTAGAATACGTATATTATAACGCTAACTAGTAAATAGTCCGCCGCTATAGGCGACTTCTCGTCTAATTTAAGGTACGCGTAGAAGCTCTCGTTTATATTAGTATCCTTATTTTGCTCGACAATCGGTAGTATATTAAATATACGAAAGTAGTTTGCCTATAACGCGATATCCTTACCTATTTCTACCTCTAAATATAGCTTATTCTTCTCGTAGTTAGCGTTTCGAGGAAGGCTCGAAATAGCGGCTTATAGTAACTCTTTCGCGCTTTCGAGCGACCGACGATAGATAACCGCGGCTTTAATATAGCGACGCGTCTCGGCGTAGATTTTACTACTAAAGTAACGGTTAATAGTGCGCTAGACGTAGACGTAGCAAAGGAGGTATTTAGTAGTAGGAAACGCTATTCGAATAGCTCGTCGCTTAGTAGCCGAGTCGTCTATTAGTATATAAATTAGAGACTACCTATACTAGTACCTTATTATACGAAGGAAGGTAGCGACAATATCGCTATTATTAGTAGGAGATAGCATATAAGCTACCGCGCGTATTATACTATATTTGTCCTTAATATAGATAGTATAAAGATACTAACCTAGGGAATTAGTTTTATATATAGCATCTATAAAAGCGATAACTTAGTGCTATCGGAGCAGTTCTAGGCCGGTTTTAGACGCAAACACGATACTATACGTAATCTCGCTATCGATCTGTCTTTTAACTAATGCTATCTCGCATTTGTAACTAACTATCGCGTTAAATTAGTAATTGTTATAATAGAAAACTAAAATTAAAACAAAAGAATCTAAAGTTTAGTATTCGGCCTACTAAGACGCGCTAGAAGCCGGACCGAGCTGTTACCGGAGCTTCTAAATTATCTTATTAGCTCGAAGCTAAGGCTCTACGGCGCTACCGCTTTAAGCGAAGAACTTTAAAGTCCTAAGATTCTAGCTTTTAGTAAAGAATTCGTAGGTAACTGAGTCTAATATCTTCCTCTATCGATTACTATCGATTTAATAAGTTAGACGCGATTACGTATCGATCTATTAGTTAATCGGAGTCCGGATACGCGGGCGCGACGGTCCGCTAAGTAGAATTCTAACCTTACTCTATAGTCGAGACAATAATATAAATTTAACTTATATTATTTATACTACTATAATACGTCTCTTTGCTAAGTTTGCTATACGAGCAACGCGCCGCCGAGTTTGCTAGACTTATACGTAGTAAGGAAGTTCCTTCCGGAATTAAGTATATCGTATTTCCGCAAGAATAAGCTACCGGCGTCCTTAAAGCGCTAGTACGCGATTAAGTCGTATTATGCCTTTAAATAATAGTATACCTACGAAGGGCGGTATCTATAGCAGATCTTATATCTAGCTATACTTAAGAGCGCGCCGTACTATCGGAAATTATTAAAGTTATCTAGTTAGTAATCTTAGTAGTATTCTTTGCGACTAACGCGTTAAATACGATACGATACTACCTTTTCCTCGCCTGTCTTCTTATTCTAACTATAGATACTAACAACCTTTATTATTATAGGACAACTACGCGCTAGCTCTATCTTCTTCTTATTCTTATTAAAGTGCCGACTCTTCGACTTATTAGCTTTCTAATCCTACTTCTTATAGAAGCGATAAGTATAGCGTATCGTCTTAGTACTATTACGTTTAAAATACTATGCCTTATCGACGACCTAGATATTATCGACGTATAGTTTAAGCGTATACTAATCTTTTACTAATAGAACGAACGAGTCTAACGCGTTACGTAGGATATACCGCTAGCGCTAGTATTTAAGGTCGTCGATATAAGGGAGGTACGCGAATATAGTGCCCTCGAGCGGTTTTAATATCTAGGACTTCGCACTACGCTAAGGGCGTTTATTAGAGGAGTTATTACTAGTTTCCTTACTAAAATTATCGCTTTCTTCCTTTTTAGGCACGTCCGCTATATCCTTATCGCTCTTAAGCGCGAAATCGCCCTAGGTAGCCTCCGCTATAACCTCTGCCGCCGGCGCTAGTAAATTCGATCGAATAGAAGCTATATCGTACGAAGAGGGGGCAATATCGATAAATACTAGTAATCTTAGTAATAGAAACGATAAAAGAGCTAGGTCTATAGATGCGGAAGAGTATTAATAAAACAATAGTACGCGTCGCGCGTAGGAGAAGCTAGGCAGAAGTCAGGCGGACCTTTAACTATTTACCGATACCATATATATAGACTATATATATATGCGGTATTATATTCGCCTCCGAGTAGCGTAGTATATAAGCTTTTTCTATATATACTTTAATATTACGTAGGTCTATAGCGTTCGGCTTCGGTCGTTCGCGTATTCCTTTATCTACTACTATCTATATATAGGAGAAGTCGATGCTATATTATATACTAATAATTCGATCGAGCGCTTATTAATATTGCTTCTTTACGGCTTGCTATATAGAAATAGAATAGTAGTATAGAAAAAATGTACTATAGATTGCCGTATAAGCAATCTAAGAATTACGAAGCGGCCGCTCGTAGGTCTAATATAAATGTTAGAAAGTTAGGCATCTAGGTATACCCGGGTTTTTAATTTCTACTAATTATAGCGAAGGTTAGGTGCCGTAAACTAAAAGAGGTATAGTTAAAAGTTAGAGCCTAAGGTGTCTAGCATTGTGATTTCTACCAATTAGAGCGCGCCAAGAAATCGGACTACGTAGCATAACCCACGAGCGGGCTCCCCTTGGTCACCTGACCTTCGCTACGCTTCGGGAGGTACCAGAGGTCGCCCGCTTCGTGAACAAAACATCATTCACCATGCATTTTGGCACCAACCACGAATGGAGCGGGCGGCTCGGCGGCTCGGCCCTACTGTACCGGATTCGGATAAGCCGAGATGAATGACCATACCATTGACCACAGCTCTCTTCTCTTCTCTTCTCGTACTATGATAATACCGTTCAACGCCACGAATATCCTATCTCAAAGTAAGAAAGAAAGACAATCATAGAAGTGGCGCGGTCTCGAAAGCAACATTTCAATCCTCTTCATCTCCCTCTCCCTCCTCACCAACCACCTTCTCGTCAACCTCCTTCCCCTTCTTCAGCTTCCCAGCACCCTTCAACTTGCCCGGAGTCCTACCCTTCTTAGCCAGCGTGCCCTCCTCCTCCTCCCCATCCCTCATCTTCGCCTTAGTCTGACGCTTACGTTTATTCGGAGTCCCAACAGCCTCCTCAGCCTCCTCCTTCTCCTTCTCCTTCTCCATCCTAGCAATAACCATACGCGCGATCTCGATATTCATGAGCTTATTCTCGTCCGCACCGATGGCCCATTGATCAAGACGAGCAAGCATTTGCCTGGGATCAAGAGCGGCTTCGGGTTGCTGTTCGACCAATGCACGAGCGATCGCGATGCACTCCTTTACGTTGCGACATGTGTCGTCGCCATCGTGCTCGTCGAGGAAGGCAAGCATTTCGGCTTTGGTGATGGGCATGATGAATGGTGGTGGGGGCGCGGCGATGCTCTGCTCGACATCCTTCCCGCCCTTTCGGCCTGGTGTTGCGACTTTGGTGCCAGACTCCTCGCCTTCGGAGCTCCCCTCACCGCCTGGGCTGTTGTCCTCGCTGCCTGCAGTCTCGTCGCTGATTGCGTTGTAGATGGCGACAGCTTCGTTCACATCCGCTTCATTCTCGTCATCGTGGGCGCCGCCTGTGGCCTCGGTACTCTCTACGGTGTCGTTGCTTCGACCCTCGCCATCATCCTCGATGCTGTCTTTCTCACGATCATCGCCGCGTTCGCTGATATCTGATGGCGCGCGTATAGTGTTCCCGGCCGGTTGCGTCTTGCCATCATGCTCTCGAGCGTCGGCGGTGACGAAGCTGTCGTTGTCGGTGGTAGTGGTGTCCATAATCGATGAAACGTACACTGGTGAATCTCCGCCGCTATGATGAATCGCTGTAATGCGCTGGGGCACTATAGGTGCGAATGTTTGTTTGATTAAGGTCGTGCGGTGGAAATGAATGGAAGAACAGTAGTGTTTTCAAAGCGAGGTTAAGTACGAAGCAAACGAAAGCGGACCTCAACGCCCGTGCTCTGTATGTATGACCGCTCGAAGTGAAGAGGCTGCGGAACCTGTGAATGGTTGCGCAAGCATGCGAGGTTGTTGGCTACTCATTGGAGACATTGAGTTGGCTCGACAATACCACCGAGCGAGAGGGTTCGCGATTGTTCCTCGTCTCGTGCGCGAAAATCTTGTGGTCTTGTATCGAGAATCGGACAGGCGACTGCGTTCTTACTTTTCATTTAACACTCATGACGTCTCGCAATGTAGCTATAGTTTCTACAGGGTATTACTCTGACATGTGCGCACAAACAACAGCCGGCGCTCCAGCTCAGCTCAATCATAGTCGAAGCGCACGGCCGGATTGTTTTTGATGAATCCAAGATCCACCTTGTGACCGAGCAGCTCGCGAATGTTCGACACGCCATATTTGATCATGGTCGGCCGCTCCAAAGACAGGCCGAACCCGTACACTCGCAGATCTTCTGGCAGACCCATCGGCAGCAACATTTCCGGTCTGAACATACCAGAGTTCCCGATCTCGACCCACTTGTTGAGACCAGTGTGGAAACCGAAGACTTCCATAGATGGCTCGGTGTAGGGGTTGTAGGCAGGCTTGAAGCGAAGATCAAGTATGCCAAGCTTGTTGAAGAAGTTGCCCAGAAACTTCTGGAGACCGCCAAGTGTAAGTCCGTAATCTGCAATCACACCTTCGACTTGATGGAACTCGGCAAGATGGGTCGCATCGACTGTTTCGTTTCGGAAGACGCGATCTATGGAGAAGTAGCGCGCAGGTCGAGGATCGGCAGCCAGACGGTGAAGGCAGTATGTAGAGACAGCTGTAGTGTGCGTTCGAAGCACGAGCCTCTTCGTCTCCTTATCTGCATATGGATACCGGTAACCTACAGAGCCAAATTTGCCGTCTTGATGGACAGCCTTAATGTCTTCGTAGTACTGCTTGTAGTCGAGGGGCTTGGCTTTGGAAGAAGTGGCGCCGGCGTCCTTCTCCATCTTTTCTAGTGCTTCATCGGCGGCTGAATCGGGACCAGGAAGGCCAGACTCGGGGGGGTCTGAGACATAGAAGGTGTCTTGTAGGTCGCGGGCAGGGTGTTGCTGGGGCACGAAGAGGGCGTCGAAATTCCAGAAGCCAGTGTCGACAAAGCTAGGAGTATGTTAGCAGTGTGTCAAGAGGTTGGTGTTCTTCAATAACACCTACCGTCCCGTCGGCATCTCAGTGAAGCCCTGGTAAAAGAAAATCTTCCTAAACTCCTCCCGCACCTTATTCAGCGGATGAAGCGCACCTGCATGCTGCTCTGCGCCAAGAGTGTTGAAGTTGTATGGCTTCCAATTTGCAGTTTTCCAGCTGCCATCCTGGATCATTTCCATCGTCAGATCTGTCACTTCTACCGGAATCTCCTTCGCCCATTTCGGTCCTTTCGACACTTCGTAGGCAATGACTTTGTGAGTAGTGACCAGCTTTCGCTTCTGGAAGTCCTTCAATTGCTTCGGGTCCGGCATGGTCTTAGTCTGGACAACATACTGAAGAGTCTCTGCTGTGCCATCCCGTACTTCATCTTTCAGCGAAATGAGAGCATCGCCATCCTTTTTAATCCAGCCCTGCTTGAAAGCATTTCCTTGTCCCACTTTCGCGCTTGGGGTCGCCAGTGCAGGATCTTTCAGCCCTAGCCGCCCTGCATTCTTCACTGCCTGCCACACTTTGAACTCGTGGCTACCCTCGTCCACGATCTGCTGCCCCTCTCGTGTGACAACGACCTGCTCTGTTTCGTGCGTCTTGTACTCAATCATGGCCCTGCTGCCTAATCGATCCAGCGCAGCCTTGATTTCTGCTTGCGGGATTTGCGCATACGCTTTATCGGTGCGGAAAGGATCGTGTGTGTCGACATATTCGAGGATGTCGAGCGTGAGGTCCTGGCTGGTGCCATTTGCCTGGCCAATTGGTACAGGCCCGCGTTGGCCAGGCATTCTGCGCGATTCGTGGAGAGATGGGCGCGCTGACTGTCTGATCCTCTCTCCCGCGGGTTTTGGAGCAATTCGTCCAGAAGGAAGAACAACAATTGCTGTGAAACAATGTGTCACGAATGCTATGACTGCAAGAAAGTCAGAGCGTCTTCCGAATTATTTAAGCTCAGGGATCTGGGAACGGGCCGTCGTGCATTAGCGAAGATTGGCTACATCTTTACTTCACTTCGGAGTGGAAGTGGAGTGGGTATCTTGATCAGACAAGAATACAGCGAACAGCAACTTGTGATTCAGCGGTCCGCGCCCAGTCACTTGCACTCCGAGGCACAGAGGCGCTGCACACCAACAACCATCTACACTCTACTTCTTCAGCATCATCCACTGCCCTCTTCAGTTCCGCTCTCGACCTCTCAGTCCCCGAATGCATCGCCCATCGAGCTGCTCTTGATTACAAGGTTGGCATCCGGGAGATTGAGGCTCACAAAGTAGTCGTCCACTATCTTGACCAGCGGTCACTGCCATCACGTGCAGCTAAGCGCCTGGATGGAGGTAACTCGCTGTCGTGGTTCTGGCTTTGTTCACCCAGCCGGGGACTCAGCCATCACTCCCGGCTAGCAACCTCGCAAGCAGAAGTGAAGGCCTTCATACTACCCATCCTAGCTGAAGCGATATAGGATCTGGAGCCGAGCTTTGTAGTCTCAAGAGAGTGGACGGCTGCTAGATGAAGGACACCTGCTAGATGAAGGACGCCTGCTAGATAAAGGACGCCTACTGGATGAAGGACGCCTGCTAGATAAAGGACGCCTGCTGGATGAAGGACGCCTACTGGATAAAGGACGCCTGCTAGATAAAGGACACCCTAAACCTACGGCCGACGCGAAAGCTAACTGAAGCCGAACGACGCTGAAGCTTAACGGCGTTGAAGCTGAAGACGCTGAAGCGACATGCCGGTCGTCTACGACATCGTGGGCGACCTTGGTCTTCTGTCTTGCGAAATCCTGACGTGCGGCGGTGACTCTTGGATCTGGATGGGCCTCTCGAGTGAGATGGGCGTCCTTCAGCCACTACAGGATCAAGGCGTATGGCTAGGAGAGCGTTTGGGTTCTGTCCCCGTCTGGAGATCTAATCAGCAATGGAAGATGAGCAAAAAGAGAAAGTCTCTGCGAGACAGACCTCCGCAAGACAAAGCCTGGTGTACGAGATCGAAGTAGTCGGCGGACCTCTCAAGGCTGAGCGACTTGGTAGTAGACTCGTCCATCCACAGTACCCAGATATTCGTATGGATCTTGCCATGGAACGTCTTGCTCATCTCTTGCGCCACATCTACCCACTTTTCGATGGCTTGCTCTTGGGTGACAGTGTTATTAGGCATCTTGACGATTTCGGTGAGGTGGATGGAGGTCTTGTCGAAGAGTTCTTGATGGTGGACGCCTGCTGGATGAAGACGCTTGCTGGGAGGGGGCGGGGGCTGGTGTCGTTGTCGTTGTTGTGCTGTCAATGAGGAGCGAGAAGAGGGAATATGAACCCGCTGATACAAGGTTAACGCTAGTGCCGACGCTAGTGCTGCGCGACATTGGCAACACCATGTGGGAAGGAAGGAGCATTCAAAGAACCACGACGAAAGAAGGCGCGATGCTGCAGTAGCTCGGGCATAACTCCAAAAAATGCTGCCGGCGATGCCATTGTCAAGGCATTGAGAGGTTGTGCGTCCAGCCTCTCCTTCGGAGCTTTATTCAACTCACCCCGCTCAATTTGAAGCGTATATGTGGAAAGCAACGATGCAGAGTCGAAAATCCCAAAGAGCATCTCAAAAGCCATGTCCACGTTCGAGCCGAAGATCGAAAAGATCTTCCGCTTCACAAGAGATAACAGCATCTTGGCGTCTTCCGCATCCGTTCTGTGGCCGCCGCCCTCCAATATCAAGCCGATCCAACGACATATCCAAGGAGACCCTGAACGAGTTCTTCTCGCAGCGAAATACGGCCGACTGTGTCGAGACGAAAAGAGGCCTTCATTGAGCTCCATGTCATCCCGCTTGCAATGAAGATACTCTAGGAGTCTTTTCCAGGAGTCCAAGTCAAACACTGGACGATGGGCCGCCGGCCGACTTCTCTACCAAAGGCCTTCCTTCTCGTAATCGACTTTAGACACGGAGTCTCTCTCACCCGAACGCCTTTCCAAATTCAAGACCGCCGGCCGACAACTCTGCATACAGGTCGGCATTCGAAAAGCTATCGGAGGATCAGTAGGCAGCAAATGAGCTAATTAGCCATTTGTGTTTACAGCGTCGTTGCGTCACGCCGTTTCATGCGACTGTAGAGACTCGAATTTTTCTCAGATGACCTGCAATCGAGGGAGCATCGAGCATCGGCCACAAGAATGTCGGACGTACACGAGTGGAAAAAAAGGTTACGGGGAGGAAAACGTCTTGTAGCCACCAACGTCTAGAAAAAAAATTTTAAAGTACCAAGAAGAAGAAGAAGAAGAAAAAAAACAATGGAGATTTTCTAAACACAAAAAGTCTCCATGGCGGCTTTGGGAATTTTTAGTGGCGATGTGGGCAGGAGACCGAATGGCGATATCGTGCGACGCAGTTTTCGAAGGGGAGTGCTGTCGAATAGCAGAGCAGAGCAGAGCATGCAGCTGAAAGAAAATCGAAATCGGAGTGTCCTGAGGACTCGATATACTGATCGAATTAGAAAGCGAGCGAGGGTATCATATTAAAAATCCACATCAAGCATCAATCAGCATGCATCAGTCTCCGAGGTCCTTCTGCAAAAAAAACCAAATCATGATGATCCCTGGCACTTTCTTCACGCACTCGCCTTCACCTCTTCCTGATACGTCTGCACCTTCTCGCCATCCTTGTTGTACGGATCCACGACCGCCGTATCATCGAAATGATAAAGTCTAGGTTCGACGCGATCTTTCTTGTGCAGGATCCAGCGATTAAAGAACCAAGGGAGCTGCTCTTTGACTTGAAAGTTCATGTGTCTTGTCGTAGGCACGCCAAATACGTAGTCGAGTTCTTCGAGAGAGCGTTGCTTCGTCTCTGGTAGCCATCTGCGAGAATTTATGTCAGAAATTGGGTGGGTTAATGTGGAATAAGGTTGTGTACTGACAAGAAGATCATGACGAAAGCCACGACGTTGAGACCAGCATAGAACCCAAAAGTTCCCGTGGTCGTGAATGCCCTTAACATTCGTGGCAAAGAAAGTGTAAGCACAGACGCCCAGAAGTTGTTGGTCGCGACTGCCCAAGACATGCCGACTTCGCGATGGCTCAATGGAAAGACTTCTGCCGAGTAGGTGAAAGGGACTGGTCCTTCACCTGGACTGTAGAATGCCGCGAAGATGTAAATGAAAAGACCAGTAGTCGCCAAGCGGGCTGTGCGGTGGGTGTCGGCATTGATCAAGAAACACAGTCCAGCTGTCAGCAGGGACCAGGCCATGTTTGGAAAGGTGAATAGTAAGAGTGATCGTCTTCCAAAGGTATCAATCGTCCAGACAGCGGGCCACGCAAAGGCGAAGTTGACCAGACCGAAGCCCCATGAGAAGAGAAGAGATGATGTGGTGCCGAAGCCAGCGTTGGAGAAGATGGTCGAAGAGTAGAATGCGATGATGTTGATGCCGCCTGCTTGCAATCAGCTTCAGCCTTCTCCATAAAGTGCTCTACGACTTACACATTTGCTGCGCAATCATAACAATACCAGACGCCTGAGTCGCTCGACGAATTCGGGGCACAGTGAAGAGCTCGATGAAGCGAGTGAAGAAGTTGTCGGTCTTGGCAACGCCGGATTGTGCAACGAGATCTTTCTCGTAATCGAGCTGAGCCGAAATGTAGTATACGTCTCGCGCAGCCTGAAGCTCAGTGTTTCGAAGGCGTTTAAGCGAACCATAAGCCTTTTTTGCCTTGCCTTTCTTCAAATACCATCTTGGCGATTCGGGACAGAACCAAATTCCAAGGACAAGTGGGACTGCCGGGATGAAAGCAGAGCCCAGCTGGAGGCGCCAGGCAATGTCGCCGACCTGGTAGACTGCGAGGTTTGCCGAGACACCCTAGGTACAAGAGTCAGTGATCGCTACCCATTTGGGCGAGTGGTACGCAACACACCAAGAAGATTCCGAAAGCCGTCCAGAGTTGCCAGGACATGACCAAACCGCCACGAATGTTTGTTGGAGAATTCTCGGCACTGGCTGAAGTCAGCGGTGAAAAGCTCCATATCAATGTTGCACGTACCTGTAGACAGGCACAGTGACCTCTTTCAAGCCCATCCCCACACCAAGCAGGATACGGCAGGCGACCAACTGACCCCACGTCTGGACACAACCTGAGCCGATCGGGGCGAGCAGTGAGAAGATGGCAGCAATGAAGATCGTGCCTCTACGCCCGATCCAGTCATTGATGGGGTCGGAGATCCAAGCAGTGAACAAGCAAATGGCGATGTATGGGCATGAGTTCACAAAGCCCACAAGCCAGGTTCGATCGATGCAAAGTTGATCTTCACTACTTGCGCCACAGAACGGCGGCGAATCTGGGATTCCCAAGTCTTGCGGCCATGACAGATTGGCACCGTTGCTGCCTTCCTGGTCCCAACTGGTCAATTGGTTAGCACACGTCCTTTCGCTCTATGGAAGCGGCAATATGCACCCTTGAATAGCTGCGGCAATCGAGTTGAGCGTGATTGTCATGTATAGTGCCCATGGATGCTTCCATCGGCGAGTTTCTTCCTCGCGCAGGGCAAGTCGATCAGCATCGTCAAGCTCGGGGATGTTCTCGAAATCTTTCGGACTTTGCGCGACCAAAGCACCTTTGCGAAGGAGAGGAACGATGTCCATGAGGTCGTTCTTGTGCGCAAAAGCTTCGACATCTTGCATGAGCTGGTCCTTTGGTATTCCTACCAGGGGATTTTTGATCTCGCCAGTCACATTCTCCTTCATCGCAATTACGCTGGCCCTGCGAATCGCATCCACATCCCGATGATGTTTGTCATCGGAGTTGAAGCCATTTTGCTGTCCATTGGATATTTTGTCTGGCTCATTATTCGATATGGCGCTTGGTCTGCTTCAGTCAGCCATAGGCAGCTCCAAACGGTCTTCACATGCCGGGCACCCACTCCCTGTCCGCCATCGCGGCTGCCTGTGCAGAGTGTCCTGGCACCGGACACTGGTCAGACGAACTGGCCAAGTCAACAACGAGTGAAAGGAAAACTGCACCAACAGGGACAGCTCAGCTCTTTAAGCGGGCGCGCAGCATTCGATCTGCGAGCCTCACAGCCTGGCTCCTGTACGGGCATGACTATTCGTAGATCGCATCCTACTATTCGTAGATCGCCGGACCTAGAGCCGGCTCCGGTCTCGGTGAGACCATATTATTAGTAATCCACACTGTAGAATATCGCAATGAAGACCTTTGACGCTCTTATTAGCTACTAAGTAGAATTATAACGTAGGAAAGAGGAATTAGGTAAATAATAGACATAGAATTAGATAATATAGCTAATCCTAACTGCCCTAGGCATACTGCCTGCCTAGCAAATAGGGTTCTACGACCCTCGCATTAACGTATAGCTCCTACTATACAATCTCGGTATAGTCTAGCATTACTACTAGCGCTATAGGTACTAGCGGAGTTCTCGGAGGGGGCGGAGGTCCTTCCTAAGTAGGTAAATAAGTAGATATAGGGTTTCTATCGCATTGCCTATACTTGTAACAGCTAGAATAGTAGTCTACGTTATCCTTAACGCACTTACACCTCCTATAGGCCGTTTTGTATATATAACCCTTACGTAAACGTTCTCGTAGTAGTGCTAGCGGTAGAATAGGCCTTCTAGGCTTAGCCTATCTTATCGCTTCTTGCTAGTTAATAGCTTCTTTAGCGGCTTGTTTAATAAGCTTAGGTCTAGTAGCCTTACGCTAAGTCGTACGCGCAAGCCGCTTATTAATCCGCTTAAGTAGCTCTAAGGTACGGTAAGTCGTTGTCTTATTGCTATTATAATTACTTCTTAGCACCCGCTAGTGCTTGTTAAATATAACAACCTATAGAATGCTAGCTAGTAACTCGATAAGAGGCAATAAGCGGTATAGATAGTTAATACCGAAGACCCTACGGAAGTAGAGGGTATAGTCGATAGGAATATAATCCTCGCTCTTCCGCTTCTTAATCTCGGCCTTAGTAAGGGCCCTTCGCTCTACTACCTTCCGTAGAGCGAAGGTGCTAATATAGCTAATAACGTTAGCGTAGAAGGGGTCGTTAAGGAATACCGTTACGGGTATAGCTATCTCTTATCTAATCTTCTCGTAGTACCTATCTACCTAATACTAGAAATATAGTATTATACGGTTAATAAAGCTATAGACGTCGTTTCTATAGGTAGTTAACTATGCCTTAATACTAGTATAGTAACCTTCTATAGGGGAGGTTATAGTATTACTAAAGTGCCGAGTTCTATCGACCTAGTATTTAACGCACTTGTCCTTATAAGGCTACTAGGTTCTAGACACGTATTAAACGAGAGCTTGCTACCCTTTATCGTATAAATAGTCGCGCTCTAGTTTATCTATAACCTTGCCGTCCGTTAGTGCCTTATAGTAGTATAGAAAGGACTCGTAGGTACGCGAATTAATAGCCTTATCGAATAGGTCTACGAAGTCTTATATAGCAACGCTTAACGGTCGTCTTCGAGTAACTAGATTAGGCTTACTAGAGCTAAGGTAAGACCTAGCATTAGCCTTAACTGCACGTTTAATATACTAGCGGCATAGTTAAGTCGGCATTGCTAGCTACTTCTTTAATAATGCCTTTATAAGAGCCTAGTCCTTGTCGTAAATAAGAAGCCTTAGTTCCTTATAGCCGTAGTCGTTAAGCATAGATTGCAGGCACTTAACGGCTATCTTATACTAATCTGTATCTTGTCTAGGTATAAATATAAAGGCTAAAGGGAAGGTCTAGTTGAACTAATTAAGTATAGCGATTACAAGTAGTAGTATACTATACTCGTTAGTCTTGTAGGTATAGTCTATAATAATAATATCCGGACAGTCCTTATAGACCTGAATTATAGTAGGGTATGCAAAGAATAGCTACTTAAGGCGCTGTTTACTAAAAGGGCCCGTTATAAGATCCTTCCGTACGAAGTAGGATTAACCGAGGAGGTCTTTAATCGTCTTATCTACTACGCTTTTACCTTCAAGTCGCAGTTTCTTAGCCTTTTGCTAGGCATTTGAGATGTTACGAGAAGTCGCTAGAACGACGAGCGACCTCGTACCTCTAGTTGCATTTCCGGTGCCCTAGAAACGGGCCTTAATAGTCGCCTTAATCTATCGATTAGAGATACTAGTAGACCGCAGTTGTAATATCGCCTCTATAATCTTAGTAGTACGCGCTCTACGGCGAAGAGTCGATAGTACTATTAGCCTAACCGCTAGATAGTTATAGTTGCTTCTATTATATATAATAGTCTAGTTATAGGAGTCCGGGTTGTCTCGTTCCTCGGCTGCAATCGTAACGGACTAAGGGCAATCGTATAGGTTTAAGTAACTTTCTCGTATCTTTGCTAATAGATTAAGAAGGCGTCGCTCTTCTCGTTTCTTCTATAGGTACTTCCGCTATATAGATATCGAGTATCTAGAATAGCGACGTTAGTATAAATACCGTATATTATTAAGCGTCTTATAACCGGTCCGCTTCGTAGAAAAGCCCTTCTTAACCTCGAAGGTTGTTATATATTCTTTAGCGCCTTCTATATTGTTAAATACCTAGTTTTCGGGGTTCTCGATAAGGGTAAATAAACCTGCTTAATACTCGTCCGGCTCGGACTCGCTCTAGTCGCTATAATAGTCGTTATTGCTAAATTCGTAGCCTCGAGAAGGAGGGCGTTGTTCTTACTATTCTTACTAACTAACCCTGCTAGTAGCACCTTCGCCGTTATTACTACTACTACTACTATAACTAACTTCTTTACTATTATTACTACTTAGCGGCACTAACGGCGGCGGTAACCTCTTACTATAGATAGCGCGTAGTATAAAACGGATAGCAGTATAGCCTACTATATACTACGCTAGCAAATCGTCGAGGAACGGTAGTATTAGGTTTAGTATCTTAAACGTATTATCTAGCTTACTAGACAACTAGGTATCGAGACTATCGTATCTAGCCTTATATTCGTACCTAATATAGCGCTAGCACCAATTCTGCTCGCTATAAGCTATATCTTCCTAGAAATCTAGAAGAAACTGCTTTAAATACTAGCGATCTACGCTATTCTAGTATTAGTAGCCTACCCTATCCTCCGGTCTATATACGAGCTCTACCTATAATTTAAGGCCTCCGAGGTTATCTAGATTCGGCTCTCGTACCTACCGCGGCCGCTTACTACGTATCTCTTAAAGCTAGCGCTTTCTTAGATTATAATACTCGGATTAGATAGGAGATAGCGGCAACTCGGCCTCTAGCTATGCCTATAACTAAGTAGAAGGGCTTAATATAGTAGATAGCGGCGGAATAGCTAGATAGTAAGGTAGATAGCGGTAGAATAGCGACGGTAAGGTAGATAGTAGTAGAATAGCGACGGCGAGGTAGATAGCGGTAGAATAGCGACGGTAAGGTAGTTTCCCTAGTTTAGAGGAGATAACTAACAAATTTGCCTTAGGCCTCCTCCGTTATCGGGAACCGATCTACGAATAGTAGGATGCGATCTACGAATAGTTATGCCCCTCCTATACAAGCGCTAAAATACGAAGCTGTCCTAGATATAGGATAGTGTTATAAGCTCGGAAGAAGGCCGTAGAAGCAAGGACAAGCATTAGCCCGACATATGTATCGGTTATGTATATAAGGAGGACAGACCGGATCCACTCTCCCCTTATTAGTGTGTTAGTCATCCTAAGTAAAGCTGAATTTCTCTAAGTCCTTCGAGTTGGATTTTTAAGACAACGCGATACATAGATATAGCGATTTTAGTAAAGAAATAGAGGCAACAGAATGCCCTCTTTCGGACTAGAATATCTACTCTATAATAAAGGGCGTAGGTAGATGAAGAAATGCCCTCAGAATTCAAGATGTCCCCACTAGAGTTTGTTAGGGATCAAATGTACGCAGGCGTACCCGGATAAGTTCTGTCCTCCTTATATGCAAAACCCATGCATCCTCTGACGCCTCCGGGGCGGGGAAAGCTTGTGCTTTGGCAAAAGCTTCCTTCATGTCTGCCTGAGAAGGCATCTTGCCGTCGAAGCGCTGCGCCTTGCATTCAGCTCCTACCTGACAACTCGCGTACAAGCTGTGAGGATGCCTCAGCGCTCTCGTCGTGGCATAGTTTTGGTGTTACCCTGTAGCACGCGACCCTCTGGCCTGACCGAGCCCTGACCTTGCAATCGGCGAGCAGGCACGCCGCACGCAAGCACGCAGGTCTCCCGGTCTTCACGTGCTTGTCCTTGGGAGACACATGGCGTGCTGATGTAGACGAGAAAGGGACTCTGTTATCATCAGGACATAAAGTACTGTACAAGCAGATCGGTCTCTCGCGTTCAGACCGAAGATAGAGTTCGGCCATGTGAGGTTCTCGATTGCTCTCAAGCTGACAAGACTACAAATTGCATCGCATCCTTCGCCGGATCTAGACAAGGCCCACCGATGAATAATGAGCAACGTCGAAGGGCACCCTATCCTGGGCAGCGGAGCGGGCATGACGAGTATAGAGATGGTGACAAGTATTTCCATGAGGCTCATGAAGAGGCTTTCCATTCGTGGTAGAGAAGGAGATATTGCAGTTTGTTGGGGTCGACAATTGGCGATACTAAGGGCCAAAGCACCACCTTTTCCCGAGCCTCCAGTAGTCAATCGATGCAGGTTTCGTAAGGTATCGTCGTGTTGTCTCGTTCGGCTGTCCATTTGCCATATCGGAGATCATATTGCAGAGTCTGAGCAGAGGAGGAAAAGTCGGGGGTTTTGTTGAGCACGGCAAACTCGGCTCCGGTGACGAAAGCCGAAACAAACACCCACCTTGCTCCCGAGTCCTCTTCTCTTCCCTTGCCATCAACGACAACGACTACTCTCGCATTCTCCAACCACCTCGCACCACGTCCGATATTGCACGTCACTGCTGAGATGGCCGAAATCGAAGCTTCAAGCGCACAATCTAGCCGTCGGCCGTGATCGTTTGAAAAGGGGACGCGAAAAGACCCGCGCAGCACGACTGACAACGAAAGAGCATTGTTGCGAGGTATTGTCCGTGGTAGAGCACAATGCCAAGCGTAGGAGAAGAGCAGCATGCCTATCCAGCATATCAAATGTCAGGGAGAAGATGAACCCGGACACCGGACAAGCTGAAATTACGTAGCAGTCCTGAGCATCTCCCATGTTTTCACCAGACTCTGCATTCAGTGTGCTGCCCGCTGGAATAGCAGGTCAGTCAATTGCCATTGCAGTACCTTCCAGAATATACTACGCCCAAACCGTCGAGAAGCCTCTTGCTGGAGTTCGAGTGGGTATCAGAGATATATACGATGTGGCTGGCCTCAAGAACTCGAAGGGCAATCGTGCTTGGTATCATCTTTCCCCGCCGGCGACTGAGAATGCAAAAGTGGAACGATTGATTGATGCTGGTGCTATCATCGTCGGTAAGATGAAGACGTCTCAATTTGCAAATGTCGAGGAAGCTACAGCAGATTGGGTCGATTACCACAGGCCCTTCAACCCACGTGGAGATGGATATGAGGATCCTTCTTCCTCATCATCTGGTGCTAGTGCTGAGGCTGACTCATACCCATAGCTCGATCTACCGCTCGGTAGCAATACGAGCCCTCCTACTGCACCTGCTGGCTTCAGCATCCTCTCAGTATCCCCCATGTAGGGCGGCCCAGGTTTCGTGGTTCCGAATGGGATTCCACTACACGAGGAGTATCTCCCTAGAGCGGTGGACATCTTGGCAGGTTGAGGATGCGATGGGATCGTGCATGATCTAGTGAGCGCTGGCATTCTGGAGGCGAGTCTAGCGGGCTATAGTCGTGATTCTGGAGCGGAGATCGTGTTCAAGAGACGTCCATATCAGCATGTTTTAGCCTTTGCAATCATATGGTCGAATCAGTGTAGCAGCAAGCAGGAAGAAGTCGAGAACTACATCGACTCATTGACATACAGAGACAGCCCTCCTGCCGACATTTCTGGCAGCCCTGCAAGGCCAAGGACGTCAATGAAATGCCAGCTAATTTTAGCTTCTATTCTGCCCAGTATAGTCTTTTAGCTGCTAATCTTGCCGCGAGCAGGGGGTGAAGAATGTGAGCAAATTAATGCAGAGCGCTTCCTTCGCGCCTGCGACTTCGCTTTTCCCTACCGCTTTTCTACCACATCTCGAGTCCTTCCCCTTGGCCTTTTGACAGTATTCTCGTCAGCCTCGATGCCCTGGAGAGACATTCAACGGCATGACGAATTGGTCTTTACGCCTTTGCAAAAACAGAAGGACGCTCACTATGCGGAAAAAAGGCGGCGGCGCTCGAATTCGCGCCTGGATCCACCGTCGACTACTGCCTATCCACAACTAACTAACTACGTACAGTACTGCATCTCGGCGGCGGCAAACGATCGCGGCCCCATGAAAATATGCGGCAAAGCAAATGTGATCCATATGATATGCTAGGATCAAGAAAGATTGAGGGCTGCTTCACTTGGTATCTATTCTCAGCCTGTCGTTGATGAGCATTTCTCACTTAAGCCTGCATGTGTATGTGCCACCAACCACGCCAAAAACCGCATTCAGCAAGAGACAGTCGCCTTGGCCACAGACATCTGCACACGCAAGCATCCCAACAGCGGCACGTTTGCCATGTGCCGCGCTGTTTAGAGACCCAGTGTGGCTTGCGCGAACGGCACAGATCTGATTCATCCTCCTGCCGAGTCTGGGCGTTGGCGCATACAGTACGTCTATGCCAGGGAATCTAATTTTGCTATTCCCCAAATGTACCAATCCTTTACGGCACAGGAGCGTTGGAGTCCGATGCTATATGAAAGGTAGAGATGGCACAGCGAGCAAGTATATATGACCTGTCTTTCCATAACTTTGTCGTGGGATCCCAGCGTACATCATACCAACAGCTCACACGACCTTTTTATTTAAAACGATCTTGAGATCCAGACGCAGATCCACCTCGATCTATTGTCCGTCTCCAACTTTGCAGGAACAATGGTCTTCTTCTACTCCCTCCTAGCTCTGGCCTCAATATCGGCAATCACAAATGCCTACAGCATCCCATCCCCAAGCAACTGGCCTCGCGAAGGAGAGTATAAATCAACAGCGACCCTGCCTCTAAACGAGATCGCCAACATCGGCGAAAAGCCCATCCCAACACCCACCGCCTCACCAAAATACATCCTCCTCGGTCTCGGCTACCAAAACTACACCTGCGACGCATCAAAAACCTGGGTCCAAACCACTCCTTCCGCGGGAGCAGTAGCAGATCTCTACGACATCACTCACCTCCTTACAACCCAAACAAAAAACACCCTCTCCACCTCATCCCTCAAATCCTTCGAACGCTGCCTCGAAGCAACCCGCTGCACACCAAACCCCAGCAACAACTACTGCACTCAATGCCGCGAACTCTGCGCCGCAGAATTCAATCGCAAATCCGCTGGCCACCACTTCTTCGACCAAGTAAACGGGACCCAGACCCCGAATTTCGACATCAGCAACTTCGGCGACTTCCTCTCAGGCAAGAAACTCGGCTCTGCGGATGCGCCTGAAAACGCTTATGAGGGGTCGAATGGACTTGGGGCTGTGGATTGGTTGTATTTGGGGGATAATGGGAGTGGGAGGACGCATGGTGTCGGGTCTGTGTATCGTGTTGAAACGGCGGGGGGTGTTGCGCCTGAGGTGTGTGGTGGGGAGGGATTTCAGTTGCAGGTGCCTTATGCGGCGGAGTATTGGTTTTATGAGTGATACCGGCGGGGGGATGTGAGTCTGATGCATTTTGCAAGCGAGATACCCATACATACCTACAGCTTGATCGGGTTTGGCGAGGTTCTTTGATTGATGCATGCATAATACATATATCGACAGTACATACAAGAAGCAGTGAAGTGTTGATAGACAGGTGATCATTACTAGTCGAAATCAACAGTTGCAGCAACAAGACATCTCCATTCATTCCTTTATGATCGTGCATTCTAGCTCAGTTCATTTTCCTCATACTCATGAATGCAAGAAAGAATACATGCATTCCACCGCAGTGATTGATAGTCAGACAGTATACGTCAGCAAAGGATGACAAGCTGCAACCAGCTGACCGAAAGTGCCTGACATGCGCCATGTTGGTGTTTCAACCTAGCTGTGATCACAATCTGGGGCACAAAATGGAACAGGAACAGAAGCCTGACTTGAAGGCTTCTAAGTTCTCCCAGGAATCTTTATGCTGTTATGTAGATTGCTGTCTTAGTGACGCATTTTCTCTTTAACTAGTTGACGGCCATGTCATTCGTCGTAAATGAAAGACGATCAATGCGTGTGGCTAGATAGCAACTGTTGAGACCTCCATTCTTGTCGCCCGAACGAATACAACCAATAAATATATTTAGGAATCGAGGGAGATCATTTCGCGATACAAGATAAAAAATGATCGAACGCGTAGAAGATCTCTTATAAAGCCGTAGCCGTTTCCTATTCGTTAATAAGACTGACTCTCGGGATTTTACTGTTTGTATTGTACGGTAAGTAGTACGACGTGCCGGAGACGCAAGTAGGAGGAGGAAGTACTAATCGCAGCAAGGTCAATTGGAAGATCTAGAGCATTCTTATTATACGGTTCCGGAAAAGATCTTTCTATATCAAGATCTAACAACTCATTGTAAGTCGCGACGGGCGTATTATCGGTCTAGCCTTCACAGTTCTAATCAATTAGAATAGAACGGAGGCCGGACCTTCGCCTCAACACCATGTCTAAATAAATATCGTATTCGGCAACGCTAGGGGTTCCAAACATAGAAGCAGCAATCTTATGACACCCTGTTAGCCACGGGTAAAAGCTTTATTGATCAGAAGGTCTTTATAATTAAAGAAGAAGACGACCCCGTCCATTCCTCCTGCCCTTCTTTCGTAATAACTTGGTGCGACCGATCTCCTAGCCTTCGTGAGCCCGAAAACCCATCATCGATCAAGAGATATCGCCATCATGCTTTCAACTACGAGAATAACACTGCTCGCCACATTCGCCCTAGCCACGACTTCCTATGCTGGAACGATGCAGGTGCGAGACACTGCGCCAGCCTTCGTATGCCCGTCCGCAGATATCACGGCGACGAAATGCTTGGGACCGAAAGATTGCCTATACCCGAACCCGAAGACATGCAATGGATACATTCAATGCTCGCCAGCGGACGCTTCTTATACGACGGGAATCGTCCACGAGATGCCATGTCCCAGCGGCCTCCAGTGGAATGACAATCAGAAGTGGTGTGATTGGCCTGAGAACTCGACTTGTGGGAACACGGGCGGTACGATCTATCGATGCGACGAAACAGGATGCGACAACGTGTACGTGATTATTGCCATCGCTTTCTTCTTCATGTCGAGATTCATGCTGACCATGCGCGCAGGTAAATATCACGGATAGGCAGCTTCGAAAGTCGAGCAGATTCGCCCGAGAGCTGTAGAAGAAAATCAGCACATCTTCACCAGTCCAAATTCATCTTCAACAACAACCCCGAGCAAAAATCCCACCACTCTTCTCCCTCTCAATCTGAAACTTGCCGACCTGTGAAAATCCCAGCCTCTCATAGAACCTATAGTATCCGGGGTTGCGTCAGCCCACTTCACCCCTCGCCCGCGCTCGGGGATTTAAACTATACGTAAAATCGCACTTTCTTAGTAGGCTATACGTAAAACTCGACGACAGCAATGTTGCAGAGCATATATAATAGGAGACTAAACATAAGTAGAATAAGAGACAAGAAACAGTAGATTTCCGGTATATTAGCAACTAAATTACGACCGTAGGACCTCTCTTCTCGGCCTTATAGAGTGCGCGAATACTGACCTTCTTAGCCGATAGCCCGATTTAGCCTCTATTGCGCGGTACGCGCCTTAGAATAAGGTAGACGCGCCTACTAAGGATTATATAAGAAAACGGCGGTAGTAAGGTCTATAGCTACTATACACTCGGATAAGGCTATATATATAATATTTAGACTCGCGGTTCCTTACTATACCTACCTAGAGATCCGAATAGGACTAGAATATACGATTATATCGAGATTTACGTATAGCCTACTAAGAAAGTACGATTTTACGTATAGTTTAAATCCCCGCGACCGCGGGATAAAGTATAACTAACGAAACCCCGGATAACGTATATAAGGAGGACTTCGTAATGCTACCCTCTTCGTTAGCGTAGTAGGAAGGGCCGCTACTAGCTGTTTCCGGTAGACGCTAAACGATTAGTAGTTAGTTTAGCATTAATTAGAAAGCGGTAACCTCCGCGAACCTCGATAAGCAATACCTCCTATAGTCGCAAATGCGACTATACTATTCAATTTCATTAACCGGCTATATACTACTATAATAGCGATAAAATAAAGTCTAAATATGTATCCTAGAATGCCCTTTCCTTATCTAATAAAGAAGCGAAGCTCCGAAGGGCAATCGAGCGCTTCCGAGCCGGCGAATACGAGTCTAAAGTCGCCTACTATTAGGACTTCGAAATCCCCTATATAACCTTTAACGACCGAGTCCGTAGCCTCTATAATAGCTCCGTATAATATAGAGAGGGCTAGAAGCGACTAAATAGTATATAAAGAGCTACTCTAAAAGAGCTAATACTAAGAATAATCGGAATAGGGTTTCTACTAAGGTATAAGACTATTCGAGGGTAGGTAGAGCAGATACTTGCTATAGATCCGGATTATAACCCTCTTATAACACCTCCTATAGGCGTCTACTAGCCGGCTCGCTTCGTTAAATAAGACGACAACCTACGCCTTCGGTAGACTACTATAATAGACTACTACCGCCGTAGCGTTGCTAATAATCCGGAGGTACTAATTAAATACTTTAAGAAGCTAGCGGATACGATAAAAGAGTATAATATTATAGTAGAAGACATAGCCAATTTTAACGAAGCCGGATACCTTACTAGTTATTACGAGCGCAACTTCTAGGTCGTTATTTATACGCGTAAAGCTAGGTCTACCTTTATACGATAACCTAGCGGTTGTAAGTAGATAACAACTATTAAAGCTATTCGAGCCGATAGTTATTATATACCTCTATTCTTCGTATTCAAGGCGAGACAGGTTACTAAAGCGTTGTTACGGCAATTCTAGCGCTAATTCTAGTATATAGGTACTAGCTTCGCTATAACTAACAATAGCTAGTCTAATACTAAGATTGCCGCTTAATAGATATAGCATTATAATATCCGTTGCCCTCCGAGCAAAGAAGGCAAATAGCGATTGCTAATAATAGACGGTTACGACAGTTACAAGTCATTTAGTTTCCTATAGTATGCCTTAGCTAATCGTATACTATGCTTATACCTTCTAAGCTATTTAACCGCTTACTACTAACCTTTGGATTATAGCGTATTTAGACCTTGCAAACTAGCCTATTCGAGCTAGTTAATGCAGCGCTATGCCGATTATAGTCTAGCAACCGTTACTAAGACTAACTTCTTAGAAATTTACTCTAACCTATACAAAGAAGTCTTTATACCTAAGATTATAACGAAGGCCTTTAAAGGGATAGGTATAGTGCTAGTCGACGCAGAGCGAGTAATTAGCAAGCTTCTACGGTCCTTTCGGCCTATAATACCTCTACTACTACGGCGGCAAGAAGGGGTAGAATCGTTACTAATTAATATACTACCGGCAGCAAGAATACTAGTTACAGGTCTACTACTAACGCTACGAAGGCTACTACTGTAAGAACTCCGCTAGCAACCGGTTACACTAGTAAAGCGCCTCCTGTTTAGTAGCAATCCTTCTATACTAATAAGCTATAAACGACTAAAGACAACGGCTAAGAAGGTAGACTTCTAGAGCTTACAATCTACCTTTAACAACCTCGGGTATACTTACCTGCCTTATACCTGCGGCCTGCAACTAGCTATCTACAACAAACGAGTAGTTAACAAGTTTAAGAAGACAGTTAAGGCGGCTTAGGTACTCCTTAACTAATATTATATAATTGTCCGAGAGAATAAAGAGCTCCGGTATACCCTTAGATAGAAGATACGTAACAAAGAGCTTGAACACGTTATTAGCAAAGCTAAGGTCTATACAATAGACGTTATAGACTCTATATTAGCAGAGGCTACTTAGAAGTCTAAATACGAGAAGCTCCGACAATTAGTAAAGGAAGACCTTAGAGCCCTTTAGCTTATACGCAAGCGAAGGTTAACCCTTACCGCTTAATAGAATAGGACGGCTCGTAAGGAGCGTATTTACCTTATTACTAAGCTTACTTAGTTGCGGAAGGAGTATAAAGTAGCTTATAAGACCGAGAGCTAGCATATGCGAGATATCCGGTATCTTATAATAGGTAAGCGCTTACCTGCAAACGCGGCTTTAATATACGTTAGTAAAGCCCTTTAATATATATAGTAACTCGAGGCTCGAGTTGAGGCCTTTAAACAAGCCGAGAAGGTTACTAAGTACGCTAAAGATCTATAGCAGACTAAGTAGACTAAGCTTAAGATAGCTAAAGAGAAGATTGCTATACTTAAGCGGATAGCAAGTAAGGCGGACGTTACTAACAAGGCCGCTATCGACGCCCTCCTTACGCTTAACTATATAGTAGACCTAACGGACGAGGTTAAATAGGAGGCAAATAATGCTAACGATAAACTAGACGGTAAGGTTCTATTCTTAGTAGAAGATAATAGCGACGTCGAACTCCTCGATCCGCGGCAAGCTAATCTACGTTTAAATAGGGAGTAGTTATCTATATAGGATATATACGATAGAGGCTTCTTTAGGGATAATAAAGCCGCCTAAAGCCCTCTAAATCTAATAGAAAAGCCGTCGACTAATTAGAAGCCGAGAAACACCTATTAATTGTTGAAAGTATACTTAATCGACGTATCTCGGTCGATTAAGTATACTTAGAATAGCGGCTTCGGCCAAAGTCCGAATTTAGGGAAGCTAGCTTTCTAGTATATATATCTACTATCGTACTATTACCGTTCTGTAATACTTTATCTTTATATTATATATGCTTGTTGTATATATTAAGACCCTTTATTTACGCTATTTAGTATGTCTACATATAGTATAGATAGTGTATTCCTAGTGTCGAGGGCTAGTAGCTAGCCTAATTCTACCCTTTTATAGAAGCTCGGAGGTTGCCGAGCTTAGCTTAGCGGTACTTAGCTATTCGACTAGGCTTTATACTACCTATTTCTATATTACTACATTCTATTATAATATATTAGCAACGATTATAGAATTATAGAACCGGATGCTGCGATTATTTTAGTGCAAAAATTAGTATAATCGTATCGCTATAGGGCGTATATTAATTCGATAAAGTATCGATACAAAACGACGAGGTGCTTATAAATCCGCGCTAACGAAGGGGTAGCATTACGAAGTCCTCCTTGTATACGTTACTAACGACCCTATATTAGATCCCTTCCCTAACGAAGCTTCTACGAAACTTACCTTACTAACCTATCTCTATTCCTAATCTAATAATAAACCTACAAACTCTTCTTCCCTATCGCTCGTCCTCTACTAGCTATATCGCGCACTAGCGCTTCTCTATATCCTCTTCGTATCCTCTCCTTAACCCGAAAATTACTAACTAAAACTTTAAGATATAGCACCTCTTTATCTACTAACTTACCCCTTAGCTCCTATTATTTACACAAATATCGCGGTCGTAAACGTATAACTCTCGCTACGCCTACCTTGTTATAATCTGCTCTTTCTATAATCTAAGACTAGAATTTTAGCATCTTAAACTAATAAAGCTATAATACTACTCTCTAAAACCCTCTTATATAGAGAAAAGGGATTCTCGCTACTACTCCTATATAGTCTTATATATCGATTTAAAGACAAGATAAGTATAGTACTAATTAACGGTTATATAGGTATTCTTAGGTTAGCTCCTTAATTAGGTCTCCTCTATATCGAAGAATACTTCTTAATCCTCTTTACTCGCTTTATCGACTTCCGCTACTATCTAACTATAGTTATTATTCTATCTTCGAGCCTCTATTATTAACTCGACCTACGTACGTCTTTCCTTAGCTATTAGACGTTTATAATAGTAGTAGAAGCAGTTATTAGGGGTATTTACGTAGAGCCTTAACTTTATTTAAAATCTCGTTAAATATCTTAGGAGCTTTACTTAAAGCTTAGAGCTTACGAATCGTCTAACGTCGAGGATCTATATCCTTATTAGAGTTCGATATATAAAACCTTATATCTAATATAAGGCAGGGATTAAGTATATAAGCTTATAAAACTATATAAAATAGTATATAAGATTATAGGACTAAATAAATTTAGCTATCGAACCTAATTCTAGAGTATATAACTTTCTAATTATCTAAAGGTCTTCTAAAGCCTTATAGAGTAGTCTTAGGCCTAGAGAGCTAGTAGTTCTAGACCTAGATAAAGATAATAAGACTATTCTACTAAGATTTCTTAATCCCCTACTCGAGATATCTTCTAAAAGCCTTAGTCGTAATATAGTCTAAATAGGCTTCTATAGCTATAGTTCTACTAAGGTAGTAGGTAGGAGCCTTAAAAATTGCCTACTAGTCCCTCTTAGTAAGGCCTATATAATCTATCTATTAGAGTAGAGATCGATATAAGCTATATAGGTCGAGATAATCGTCTAATATACAAATTATAAGGCTATATAAAGCTTAAACCCCTGCCTTATATTAGGTTTTGTAAGACTTACGTATAGGTTTAGAACCCTAATCCTCGTAGATAACTAGAAATCTCGTAGATCTAGAGTATACCCCGATTAAGCGAGATAGCGGACGGGGGTAATCCCCGTAAACGGCAGCTAGCTTAAAAGCGTTAGACGTAAACTTTTTAAAGGTACGGATAATTCCTTTAGGCAGTACGCTAGCTTTGACCAGTTAGATCCCGTTTTTAGGGATCACCGCCGTCCGCCATCTCGCTTAATCGAGGTGTATGTGAGGCTCACGTCAGCGCGATAAATTTAGATGTATATATCGAAGTATGACTTGTTACACCAACAGCTCAGCTCAGCGAAATTTGATGGCCGATTGTGGTGCGTGAGCGAGACATGTATTCCAAAACCTCCACCGAAGAGACGAGACGAGACGACCTCCTCCTTCACAGAGTTCCGTAAAGTCAAAGTCTAGATAATCTATACTCTTTTCATATCTATACATCACAGCCCAGCCGATTTCTTTCTGTTTTCCTCAGCCGGAATCTCTCTCTCTCATTAACATGGAAAAAAAAAGCATCGCAAACACCCTCCCACCTCATTACAATCCCTTCAACCTCACATCCCGGAAAGAGCACTACTCAAAAGCCGGGTACGTAGCGGCAAAGACACTCAACCTCCCATTCGAGCCACAAATCTCATACCCATTGCCAGGACAGGGCAATCTGCAGCTACTGTCGACGACCAAGACGGCGCTCTGCGAATTGAGGGCGTTGCCGCAGAAACATTGCGTGCTGTTCTGTACCCCAGCGATCGCGTATCCCGCATTTTGACAGCCGCTCGTGCAGCCTTCGATGGAGTTTCCGGAATTGTCGTAGAGTAGAGTCGGGAGGGCGGAGGGTGTGGTGGGGGCTTGATTTGTCCAGCAGCCTTGGTATGTCATTCCATTCCAGTTGCCTGTGATGCTTTTGCCTGAGATGCTGACTTGGTTTGGATCTGGGTAGGGGTCGTCGCCTCCCTGCTGGCGTGGGTAGCCGAAGTCAAAAGCTCGGGATCCATCGCCGTAGAAGTTGTCGGTGAAGAGTCGTGCCTGGCCAGCTGGAGAATTGAACATTTGACCATTGTCATGCGAGACGTTGATCAGGTCGACAGTGTCGCAATTGACGCCTGCAGGATCGGTGCAAGATGGAGCAAAGGCTTTGATGAAGAAGAAGAATCGCTCGTGACGGTCAGCACCTGTCGTGCTTGCGGCACAGTCGGTCGAGTGGTCTCCGTGATCGAGTAGCGCGCGAGCATAAGCGATCTGCTTCTGACCATAGTTGTAGCCGATGGCCTGGCGACCTTGTGCTACCAGCGCACTGCCGTAAGTCATTGCATCACCGTAAGTGTCGTAGTTAGCGTAGCCCTCGCGGTAATTGTCATATGCGGCACAGGCGGAGGTCGACAGAGGGCGATCAGTACTGAGCCAGGCATAGCTGTTAGGATTGCCTATCCAGTAAGTGACGGGGCTCGTCGTTTGCAGAGTTGAGACTGAAGCATATCGCTGTACCATCTGCCCACCCATGGAGTGGCCAGCGACCACGATCTGCTTCAAGTTTGGAAAGAGCGTCTTATCGTCGAAATAGCTGATCAGTGTGTCGAGGACGAAGAAGCTGGAAGTGTTCGTGCTGGAAACTGGGTATTGGTTGTTGGCGCCGGCGGACCACTGAGAGCCAGACCAGACAAGGGCGTTGGAGGTGCTGCCTCGACCGGCTTTGAGGCCTTCAGTCCATGGATAGGCCGTGTTCTTGTCAGCTCCATTGGTGAAATAGGGCGCGATGACGGCGACAGAGTCGGCGGAGATGTCGGCATTTCCAGCATGGGCTTGTGCCAGAGCCGTGAGCATCTGCAAAAGCATCATCGTTAGCATCAGCATCAGCATCAATTGTTGGCTTCGTGCTCAGTCGTCTAAAAAAAGTCGATACTCTCGCATCAGCGTATCCACCTCTCCCATCCCATCCCATCCCACCTCTTCCATCCCATCTCCTCACCACCACCCAACCTCTTCCCTCCCCCAACATCAAAAAACACGTCCAAAAAACTCACATCATTCTCATAATTCCACGGATCCCTCAAAAGCCCATGCAGCACAATAACCGCCCTCCGAACCTTGCCCTCCACAATCCGATGTCCATCCGAGCCGAGAGAATAGTAGTTGATCAAAGTAAGATGCTCGTTGGCGCCGGTCGGATCGAAAATTTTGAAAAACGCGACTTCCGCGCCTGCGACGGGGGGCAAATTCGCGCCGCTGATGATGGTGTCGCCGGCGTATTGCTGGGCGAGAACGAGAAAGGGGGGAAAAATCAAGAAGAAGAAGCGCATTTTTTTTCGGCTGCGGAACGAAGGAAGGAAGGAAGGAAGGAGTGAAGGTGGAAGAAGAAGAATTGAGCAGCAGCAACAGCCAGCCATATGAAGAAGGAAAGAACAACGCGCGTGCAGAAAACGACGGGACCTAGTCTCTCTAACACGCACACGCACACGCACGCAAAGGAGTGTGCAGGTGTTTGTACCTGGTGAAGTCCGCATGAAGATAAGTGATGTCGCTTCCACGCAACAGCACGCTGAACTGAGGATGAAATCTCGCTTCACATCCACCATCACCACGCCTGACAAGGATTCCTGCATCTTCTATTCTAGACATGGATGATATCTGCTCGCCACGCCACGCCACGCACGCTACAGTACACACTACCGGTTTCTACCCATCAGCCTGGAATCCTCAAGTGCATTCAGCCAACATACATACCTCTTCGCCATACCTATGTGGGCGTGGGTGTGGTATTCAAGACGAAACAGCCGTAATCTCAAAGCTGCACTTCTCGAGGCCAAGCAAATGCCAAGCACCATGCCGTGACACCGTTGCGAACGCCGTTGCTGTTTCTGTGCTCCCTGTCAATCGCCTTCATGCACACATGGAGAAGGCTGATGCAGATCGCTGGAAGAAGTCGCTCGGATGCGGATGTGACAGTCTTCGCGTTGAGACCGATCATACTACTACTTCATGGTCAACCTCTCTTGTCGCGCTTCATACTCGCCGTAGCCAATGAAAAGTGAGTTCAAAAATTCATCAGGCGCTAGATATACACAGAACCGTCTACCGCTCCCTCCCGGCCTACCTACAAACAGCCAAGGGAAGCGGAGTCGTGGAGTGGGCGTTTCTATGAGATTACACTGTGTTTCTCTCTTTGTTGTATGCTCTCCATTGCTCTATCCACGCTTCCTATAGCGTCGTCTTCCTCATCTTGAACCCTCCGTTCTCTACGACAGATTTCGGCTCATGTCACCTCGAATTCTGTTGTAGTCGAGGAGACCCTCGATTTGTCCAACGGCGGAAACGGCAACATCGCGATCCCACAGCTTGTTCTGCGCAAATCGCATGACGTCCTGTGCCGTGATGCTGCCAACCACTCTCTCGACCTCCTCGGGGCTCAAGCGACGTCCAGTGGTGATGATCTGTCGGCCAATATCCTCTGCCACGGAAGTGGTGCCGTCAAGGGAAAGGAGAATGCTAGCCTTGAGTTGCTGCTTGGCGCGTTCCGTCTCGGCTTCAGTAACGTTGAAGGAGAGACGCGACCATTCCCGGAGCGTGAAGTGGACAAGATCGTCAATACGAGTGACAGCGTCAGTCACCATGTAGATACCCCAGAGGCCAGTATCGGAATATGATGTGGAGAATGACATGAACGAGTTGGCGAGCTTGTGGTCGTGAATGAAGGTGGAGAGTTTGCTGCCGAGGTACGGCGAGTTGCCCATGCTACGATCCCAGTTCCCAACAATGGCTTGAGTTACAAGAGCAGTGAAGTAGTCGTCGTCCTTCCAGCTCACACCCTCCACGGCGATGGCGATGTTGGCAGTTGGCATCGTGTCATCTCGTATCCGGACCTCCGATCCAACAAAATCAGGCTTGGACTCAAGACCTCGCACGTAGGCGTTGTTCTGCGCGTTCGGGTTGTATGCTGGGATGTTGCCAAAGTACTGCTCGGCAAGCTTTACAAGCTGCTCGTGTGGCACACCACCTGCGCCAACCAAGACCATGCGGTCAGCAGTGTAGTTGGTCTTGATGTAGTTGGTCAGATCATCGCGGGAGATGCTGAGGATGTTCTCTTTTGGTCCCAAGATGGTGCGGCCGAGTGGCTGGTTCTGGAAAGCAGTGGCATGGAGATGGTCGAAAACCACTTCCTCCAATTGCTTGTCGACCTCCTCTTGTTCCCGGAGAATAACGTCTCGCTCGCGCTCAATAGCAGAGTTCTCGAGCTTGCTGTTCTGGAGGATATCGGCGAGGATGTCGACGGATTGAGGGACATCGCTGTTGAAGGACTTTGCGTAGTAGACGGTGTTTTCGCGGGAAGTGTAGGCATTGAGGTGACCGCCCATGTTCTCAATCTCAAGTTCTAATTGCGACTGGCTGCGCTTTTGCGTGCCTTTGAAGGCGAGATGTTCGAGAAAGTGTGCGGTACCATTGGTCTTGTCAGTTTCTGCGCGCGAGCCGGCGTCGATCCAGACTCCGACGGTGGAGGTTTGCGCGTATGGGGAGTACTCGGTCGCGATCTGGACAATGTTTATCAGCTATACTGCCTTTTGGCATGATTTTCGGGGGTCAATGGCAGCGTACGGTGAAGCCATTGCTCAAGGTGGTCGACTCGGTGGTGGATCCATGGCTAACAGGAGTTGCCAGGGCGCGGCGGGTGATGTTTGATCGCGGCTTGACGGCGTTGATGGCTCTCTGGGCGCGGAGGCCTGTCTGTACGCTCAGCGCGAGCCTTCTTGATGCCATAGCCGGGAATGTGTGGTGCGCGAGGGATGGGATGCGGTTGGGTGTAGTCAAACATTCAAACATTCAAACACTTTCTCGGCGTTCCGTCACGGCCGGCGATGCGGTGGACAAAATGTGTGGACAGCGTACCAGATGCCACACAACATCAGCAACTCTTTGCGAAAACATTTCACACTTGCCATATGATCAATTCCTAGGCAATTTAGCGAGCGTATCGCACATATTAGCATTCTACCGTTGAGGGCCTTTCTTCTCTCACTTCTCACATATGCTGGCCAAAACTCCATATCACAAAGCGAACCAATAACAATTGAGCTGACCAAAGCGACTATTCCCGAGGTCTTTACGATCCTCGACGACGACATATCCGGGGTTTCGTCAGTCACTTCACACCCGCTGTCGCGGGGGTTTAAGCCATACGTAAAATCGCCTTTTCCTAGTAGGCTATACGTAAAACTCGATACTGTCGATGTTCCAGTCCTATATAGGTATCTAGGTCTATACAGTATTAAACCGCGAGTCTAAATATCGTATTAGTAAGGTTATCCGAGTATGTAGTAGCTATAGACCTCACTATCGCTATTTCTTATATAATCCTTAGCAGGCGCGTCTACCTCATTCTAAAGCGTGTATTCCTCCTATTTCTTATGTTTTACTATATAGATTATATACAAAACTTAGTATAGGGCGTAATAAGGGCAAAAACGTAAAGAGGATACGAGCCGAGCGGTTAACTAAGACGGAGAGGGCAGAGAGGGTAGTAGATCGAGTCGTTTCGAGGTACCGCGAGTTAGAGGCTAAATCGGATAATAAGAAGGTTAGTATTCGAGCGCTTTATAAGAGTAAGAAAGCAACTAGCCTATATTATTATATTTACTAGCGGTTAAGGGGCCGTAGATCGCTATTTAATCGTCCTTAGACGAATACTAAGCTAGATAAGTCTTAAGAGCTAGCTCTAGCGGATTATTATTAAAAGAGGGACGCAATAGGCATATTCCTACCGGTAGCGTTAATCGCTACTATAGCGATAGAGATACTAGTAAGCCTGCTACTAGAAGGGGTTTCGAGGGATATAATACTACTATTTAGCGTAGATTAGGCGGACCGCTTTCTTAAGCGCTATAGACTTAGTAAAGTTAAGTCTAAACCTATCGAGGTATAGCGTAAAGAGGCTTACGACCCTTCGACGATAAGGAGCTAGTTTAACCGCTTCGAGGCTATAATAAGGCGACTTAGTATAAAGCCGCGGAACCTATAGAATTTCGACGAGACTAGCTTCCGGATTAGAATTAGTAGCAATAAGTATATCGTTACAATAGATACGAAGCGGCGCGCCTAGACCGAGTATAATAGTAACCGTACGTACGTAACTGTCGTCGAGACCGTTAACGCCTTCGGTAAGGTAATAGATTATTAGTTGATTGTTAAAGATATAATAGTTTAAGAGCGGTAGGTACTAAAAGAAGGTAAGGCAACTGCCTAAGGCAATAACAACGTTACTCGCTTGCTAACTAACGCCCTCGTTCTTAGGCAAGGATAACTTCTTAATTACTATTAATAAGTCTAGCTATATAACTAACGACACCGCAATGCACTATATCCGCTAGTTTAAGCGGAAGACGAGGCCTAAAGATTTAGAAGAATAGAGGGTGCTCCTATGCGATAACTACGGCTCTTATTGCTTTAAGGAGTTTGCAGCCTTTGCAAAGCGATATAAGATCCAATTATAGGGCCTATAACTATATACCTTACACTTTATATAGCCTTTAGATGTTGTCCTCTTCTAGGTATATAAGTTAAGGCATAGGCAAGCGGTATTAAACGCTACATACCGTAGAGTTAGCGAGTTTAGAATACCTAAGTTTATCGAGGCCCTCTTAGCTATTCGGGCTAAAACATTTACCTCCTATAATATAAGGTCGGCATTCCGGAAGACTAGTATATTCCTACTTAATAGGGAGGTTCCTTATAAGCATATTCGAGATTAGTATAGAGCTACTAACTATAACTAGAACTAGCAAGTAATTAAGGGCGAATTAGTATAGGAGGAGGCCCGGCATAAGGAATTACTAGCAATAGCGGAGGCGGCTTAGTAGGAGCATATCGCGTCGGTTAAGGAAGAACGTTCTACTAAGCCTACTATTATCGATCCGGAAGGCTAGTGTCTCGCTAACCGTCGCTACTATATTAGGGATCTCGAAAACCTAATTGCTTAAGGTCTACTATTATTACCGCCTCTGCCGCCTTAGCGAACACCGACCCTCGAATTGCTATAATAGCTCCTTAATACTACGACTAGCCCTCGTACGATTAAGGCGTCTCGTAGTACTATAGAAGCCCGTAAGGCCTTCCGACGTTCTTATCTAAAGACAGCCCCGTAGGGTACATTACTATTATTTAACCCGTTTTCCTCGTTACCTATAAAATAAGCAGAAGAGGCGTATAATATATTAGTTAATGCGGCTATCTATAAGGGTGAAGAATACAAGCGTAAATACTAGTCTACGAGCGTTATTAAACGAGTAAAGAAGCGGTAGAAGGAATAGCCTAATCGGCTTATTCGAGCAGGTACTATCGAGGCTAATAAATTGCGTTTATAACTTACTTAGCAAGATAAGGACCTAGCTAACAATAGATACTAGAAGATGCTCCGCGAGGCTAAGGGGGCCTATAATAAGGCGCGTACCTATCGATTGAAGTATAGTAAGGCCTTCCGTATTGTCTTTAATAATAATAGTAAGACTAAGTAGTTAGACATTTAATTGTAACCTATCGATAAGCTACTATAACGTATCTTCGATAAGCGCCTTCTTACTTCTAATAATACCTCTACCTTAAAGAAGACTAGTAATCCGTACGCTAACATTCTTAGCGATTATAAGCGCTATACTGCAACGAGTAAGAGCGGCGACATTACCTATACCTAGAGTCCGACAATAATACTATCTCTACCGAGCCGTACTTGTAATTACGACGAAAGCGACCTTCTAACGTAGACTAACGTTAAGCCTAAGCGACGATTGAACGGCCTATTCGCGTAAGAGCCTAATACTCGACTCGACTAGTTATAATAAGATAAGGCGGTACTTAATAAAGGTCTATATACTATACTTTAGCCTTATTTAATATACCCTCGCCGTCGTTACGAGTCGGTGTAGCGGAAGCGCTATTTCTACGAGCCTCCGAAGAAAACTAGCCGTTATCGAGGCGAGGTCGCTAGCTATAAGGACAACCCTATTAAGCTAGAAGAAGACACTTAATATAGCTAATAAGAGGTAGAAACAAGGATATATAGACCGACTTGTAAAGTAGTCGATTATATAGTTAGCGCGGCGTATACGCGAAGGTCGTTAATAGCGTAGCAATAGCAGGTCTAAATAGTAGGTCTATATAGTCTAATTTAATATATACGGTCGCAATATGCCTTCTTCTTAACCGTAATCGCACTCACTATCAATTTCCCGGCTTATATGCTCTACAATATACCGTAGTGTCGAGTTTTACGTGTGGCCTACTAGGAAAGTGCGATTTTACGTATAGCTTAAATCCCCGAGCTGGGGCGAGGGGTGAAGTGGGCTGACGCAACCCCGGATACCCGAAGCATTCTACAATCTGTGTATCTGTCTTCCCACCTCTCACCACCGCCGCAATCATGGCCACCTCCGCCCTGCGTCCCACGATGCTCCGCCAGCTCGAGCAACTCTCCTCAAAGCGCGCATACTCCACCCTTCGACAATCAGCGCAATTGACTTCGAGACCAACATGGGCAGTACAGAGAGCAGCATTTCAGACTTCTGCTGCGAGGAGGATTCTGCCGCCCATGCCACAGGTCATTAAAGGAACCGTGAACGATCCGACCAGAGTGCCTGAGTCGCACCCGAGCCATGGAAGCTATCACTGGACTGCTGAGAGGTAGGCGAGATCGCGTGCAGGCATATTGGAAAGAAGGGACGGATTTGCTAATTGGCATGCTCCAGACTCGTCTCCGTGGGCTTAATTCCAATGACGATTATGCCTTTCGCAGTTGGATCACTTAACCCGTTGCTTGACGGCACTTTGATCGGCTTGATTATTCTGCATACATACATTGGCTTCCAGTATGCTTCATCAGTCTAACCCGAAAGAAAGCAAGAACTCCCACTGACACTTACACCCAGATCCGTCATCACCGATTACATCCCAACATGGCGAGCACCCGGCTGGAGAAAAGCTTTTGACTGGTTGAATGTGCTCGCTGTCGGCATTGTCGGCTGGGGCTGGTACGAATTTGAGACCAACGATGTCGGGTTGACTGCCGCCGTAGCACGAATCTGGAGAGCGGGCGCCAATGCCAAGCAGGCGGCTAAGGAGGCGGAAGAGGCGCTCTCGTAGATGCAGAAGAGCTGAAAGGGGTGGGGATAAGAGCTGCTGCTATCCGTACGCGGAGCAGGAAGAGGAGCGGGTGTGTGTTTCAAGATACATGTGTATATTTGGATGGGATGCGGGAAACTACGCATGGAGTCATCATATACATGGTCAAATCACGTTCGAATGATACCCGTTTCCTTTGTTTGAGCAACTCGAGAGTTTCACTTGGTAGCGGTGCTCAACATCAGCCAACAGCTCAATCCCGTGGCTAGCTGCAGCATCGCTTCGGCGGCAAGAAGCAAGATGATACTCACCGATCCATCATTCATCCAACTCCCTTGCTAAAAACAGCCATGGTCAACGGATACCCGCTTCCACCCCAGCCACCACTCATATCCACTTCTCAGCTGAAAGAAAAAGTGATGAGTTGGCACGGATGAGTACAGATTCGCCGAGATCGAAGCGGTGAGTGGACTGGACTGCGAAAACTCAGAAGCGAAGTAAAGGCATATGAGCTGATTCCCACATCGACAGATACACTTTCATCATCACTATGCTCTTCTTTCTGGTCTTTATACACAAAACTTGAATCACTTTATACGCAAAAGACACCGCCTTGCGGTCCACAGATCTCTCGGGAGTTCCGTTATATTATTACATCTCACCCAGCTGCTTCTTTCCCCTCGGCTGCTTTTTCTCCTTCTCCCGCTCCTCCTAGGATCTGAGATTCCGTCTCACCTGTCCACCATGACCGGGAGCGCTTGCCCTTGCACAGGCTGCAGGCTACCTTGATGTTGAAAAGGTGAAGTGCCAACGTCTTCCATCTTGACTGAATGCTTCCTTCATGCTGCAACTTAATCAACATGGCCGCACTAGTGCTCACAGTCCCAGCTTCGTAAATCATGCCCCACACCATTCCTGCTCGTACGATCAACGACGACTATATTATCCTCAACGATCCTGCTACAATCGACAGCGATGAGCTCCAGCCGCAGTTACAGCCCTCCCGACTTACACAGCCAGTCTTCGCCAACCTGAGACTTGGCTACCTCGCTGGCCAGGGCAACGCCAAGGACGGTTGCCCGTCTAGAATCGACTGGAAGACTGACGATATCAACGCCAAGGTCGGTCTTCGTCTCTCAGAATGGAGGGCCGACCAGCTTCGACGACAATGGACCCAACATTCGCGATCACATTTCTGGGACTGGCAGCAGTACCGCATTGCAGACTGGTGTAGCAAGCAAGCAGAACATGCCTATGTTTGGTCTCGCCGACGCGGATAAGGCCGTTCTAGAGCAAGCCGTTTTGGCTGTCTATCCTCACCAAGTCCCGTCCCGTCCCGTTCACACCAGAATACCTCACGTGGCGTTTGAAGACTGCGAGAAGGAGCCGACTTTCACGTCTTCTTTTCTTTACTCTGGACTTTCTACCTGGTCTTTTCTTGCTACCGTATACACAAAACTCCAATCACTCTATACACAAGCTAAGGCCCTTAGGCCCTATATATAACGAGTGCACTAGCAGAGTGAGCCGATGCCGCAACCAGCTCCGCTGTTCCTGTGCATTCTGTACACGGCTCAATCTGCGATGTTGACGAATCGGCAGCCTCGATGTCTGACGCTGGCGCATCTTGCAACAAGATCAGAGCACGCCGCCTCGGCCTATGGTGGACAGCTCCCGACACCGCCCAAGGCTGGCCTCAAGAGGAAGAGAATGGATCCATCTATTGCTCATGATGAAACTATCCCATGCAAGAAGACAGCATTCAACCACACTCTTTCCCCTAGCAATTGGGTAGAGCCGCCACGATTCAGTGCGCCTGTTCATAATGCTGCTGGCAACTTTGGGTTGGATCCGTCTTGCTCTGAAATTTCAAGATCCATTCGCATCTGGCAGGCCTGTTGCTTCTCCACTCACCGTCCACTATGCACTCGCGCTGCGACTGGACCTTGGCTCTATCCCCGGAAGCGCTGGAATCACCACTCTCACCAGCCGCGCGTTCTGGTCAGCCTCCGTGATCCCTCGGCGGACAGCTGGATCTTTTGGCGAGCGCACTCGGTTCTTCTAGCAGCATCAGCACCAGCACCAGCACCAGCACCCACTCTGCTCTTCCTCTCCATCTTCGCACTTTCCTGGACTTCTTGGCTCTCGATTCCTTCATTTTTCATTCCATTAAATTCACGGCTTCGTCTATGTACACAACACTCAAAACCAGTATACACAATGCTACCTCAAGGACACCCGCGCCGCACGATCGTCAATTGTCATCGGCGACGAGGAACACCACTTTCAGAACAAGTCCCCCCTACAGACCGATGACTTGTGGATGTTGATCTACAACAACGCCGTAGTTCTCCTAGTGTCGACCAAGAGCTCATCAATGAGATCGTGTGGTATGCCGCCGATGAACTTGTTCGCGAGGATGCCGCACTGTTGGCGCACCTGAGAGACCAGATCAGGGCTCGGTGTCGACACGACACCCACGTCAGCACCCTTGCCAACGTCTGCGGCTCCAACTGGACCGAGAGATCTCCATGACACTGAACTGGCAAGCCTTGCTATTCGTCGCGCAAAGATGGAGTTGCCACTTCCTGACACGAACCTTGACATCCGCTCAAAGGAGGTTCCAGGTTGTCGCTGTCGCTACGTCCTTCACCGTGCCGAACCCATCTGTCAACACGGCACAGAGCCCACTCATCTGCACCTCATCCCTCGCCACAGAAGCGGACCGAGATTCACTTGATGTAACTGATGATGTATTCCGAAGAAGGACTATTCTACGGAGTCCAAAGATGAAGTGTGGCAGCAGTTGCAGCCTCAGGCATCAGGCACAGAGACAGAAGGACACAGTCAGACAAGCCTTTACATAGGCGGCAGAAATTGTGGGTCCGCGGCTTCTTGGCGCACATGAGAGTGAATGAACGCAAAAGCCAGTGAAGCGGTCTCGCGACTTCACTCCGCATCTTGTTCACCCCGACGAGGAGTGCGCTTGGATAAGTACATCTGCGCAATGCTCTTTCCGTAGTTGCGACTAGCTGGGTTGCTACTGTAGTGCAGTTCTCTTCCTTGCGGGGTCCGGCGGGGCTGCCGGATCACTTGTAGACGGTGTTGCAAGTGATTGTGACCGTGGCGATTGCTCGAACTTTTGATGGGGGGGTTGGTGCTTTTGGATCATCCCAGGATCTCCTTCTGGAGTCTAGGCAGAGGAACAGACGCGAACACCACTTTCCAGCATAGGTCAATATGCCTTGTTGCGGTCTCCCAACCAACCGGGGGCGCGGTTGCGCCGATTTGGATACTCTTAGCAAGGGTGGCAGAAGCGACACATTTTGGCGTTTTGTTTTGGGGTGCTGGTGATTGGTATAGTGTGGTGCATTCGGCATTGTGGGTCCGCCGCTTCTTGGCGCACATGCGAGTGAATACATGTAAAGGCAATAGCTAGTGAAGCGGTCTCACGACTTCGCTCCGCATCCTGTTCGCCCTTGATCAGATCTTTGCGTATAGTGATAATTCCTGGATGCCAGTACCAGGAGCAACAACGTGAATTCGAAACGTTTATAGGCCGACGCAGCGACTGCAGCAAACAGATTTTTTTTTGATCGAGCTGTCCAGAGAGCGCTTTGTGGGCAAACTCCGCGACACGGCCTGGCACTATCTAGCCTCTTCTTTCTTTCTAAGGCCTGTTGAAGTCTAGTATCTCCCATCTGGTTGAATCATGTTCTTCATGAATCTAATATCTCGCTCTGTCGTTTCCGCAGTGGCGCTCAGTCCAAGCTATTCTCATCAACATCAGCTCCGTACTCCTGAACGACCCAAGCACAAAACTTTTCGAACTCTGCCGCCCATTCACGCATCCTCTCTGCTCTGACGCCTTTCCCGAAAGCACCGTCTTTGATATCCTGCTGCCATTCTTTCGCCGTACATTCCTCAAAATTCGCCCATCGGATGCTGTTCTCAGCCAGACTTGCCAGACCGGCGAGTCCAAGGTTTTCCCAACCCTGTAGTGCCTGCCAGAAGTCATGCGTCATGCCATTCGTGCCTTGCCCAAGTATTGCCGGATCGTCGTTCGCGAGACAGCAGGGTACGCCTCGCGCGATGAGGGAAGGCAGGACGTTCATCTTGATGCTGCCGGTGTATCTGAGGACTTCGTTGCTGACTGGGCAGGACTCGATTAAGATTTTCTTTTCCTTGACCATTTCTATCAGTAGTGGATGCCGATATAAAGAAATGCCGTGTCCGATTCGCCTCGTGCCAAGCAGGACAGCATCGAAAAGATTCTCGTCAACACTGTCGCCATCACCAAGCGTTTCACCAGCGTGGAAGAAGAAAGGTATGTCTACTCCCGCTTCGGCGCACTTTTTCTTGAACCAGAAGATTTCGGGTGTGAGGTCTACGAGTGGACGACCTCTGTCTTCCTGTCCAACGAAGTCGAACCCGAGCAAGAGATCTGGGAACTCCACTTTCGTGTCAATACACTTCTGCATATCTTCCATGACATACTTTGGTCCAAACTGTCGAATGCTTGTCCAAATCACAGTCGCTCCCCAGAAGCCCTTGCCTTCTTCGGAGGCCTTGAACTCTTCCAAGACTTCATCAAGCACTTCAAACCATCGTATGAAATCAGCATCTGGTTCATTCTGTCCCTCGCGTGTGAACTTTGCGTTGAAGTCACACCTGATGTCGACCCACTTGATGCCATCTTGATGCAGTCCCCGGAAGAACAGCTTGAGGAAACCTCTGAAGATGGGTTCGTAGTTGACGAGACCCTTGATGACACCAAAGCAAGCGATGAATCTGGACCAGATATCGTTTGGCCCCAAGTGGTGTGAAATAGCGTCCGTTGCGGAGAGCGTGATTCGGGACTTGACCCACTTCTTAAAGCCTTCTGTACTACCTACCCTCTGGGAAGCTTTCTGCGGCAGTCTTGATTGGGATCAGATCGTTGGGGTTGTAGGATTCTGACCACAGTGGTGGACCTTCAGACTGCAACCCCGTACTTGCGAACTTGAATAGATATGGCACGCGGTGGTCTTGTCGGATATCTTTGGTATGCAATGACGTCTCCGCCAAAATGCAGATGCCTGGAGTTGAGAAAGCCTCTTCAATCAGCCAGTCCAAATCACCGGTGGCATGCAGATGACAATGAAGCAAGCAGCCCTTGGGCATCTTTCTGACTATCTGCCAGAGCTTGCTGGTCTCCATTCGCTCCTTGGCCAAGGAGAACATCATGCCGGGATAGATTGGTTGATCTGTGGTCTTGGCTATGCTGTCTTCAAAGTCGGAATTCCACAACGTTTGCTCTTCTTCAAATCTGATCGCCGAGATGACTGCCGCTGCTTCTTTGGCCATGGGGGTCAGCATCTCCCGGAAGGCATGATCAGCACGTTGCTGCTTTTCCTGCGCCACCAAAGCATCCCTGCCATCGAGGTACTTTTGTATGAAAGGCTGGTCGATTGATGGCAGTCCGTTCTCTCTGCACCACTTCTCATCTGCAACTTCGGTAGATTCCGCAGATGCCATTGCGATTGTGAAGTGGGAAGCAGATGGATCCTTGGATGTGAGGCTCGGGGCTCAGAATTGGCTGAGAGATTCCAGAGATCAAGGAGACCTGCTCTGGTTATGGAGTAGTCTGAATGTATGTCATATGATCAACTCGACGTGCATATGCACATGCACATGAAAGAGGGAGGTCATGAATGCTCGTGCCCAGGAAAATTGCGCACAGACCACTCGGAGTTCGGCAAGTCGCGCCTTGCTCGTTCACGGCAACAGAACCACGTCTCCAACGACAATCACAACCTCGCATCACCTCCGACCATATCGATCCACACATTCCGACACCTCCTCAACCTCATCTCACCAGACGAGCGCGGACATTGGGCCAAGCGATCGAGCTGAACATGTCCGACTCCGAAATCCCACCACAAGCACACGCGACTACAGGAGGAAAGTCGCTCGCGGCGGCAGAATACCCTCCATACAAGTCATGGCGCAAGAAGTACCGCAAGATGAAGCACAAATTCGACGGAGTGCTGGAAGAGAACAAGACGCTGTTCAAGGAAGAGCAGAAGCTGGAAGGCATCGCGAGACGACTCAGGGAGAGCCTCGAGTATGGCACATCCACAGCATTATCAGACGCAAGACTAACCGACATCTAGTGGACTGCTCGATCTACTGCTCGACCTGAACCAGAGTCCTGCGCTACCGCCCGATCTCCGTTTCAACATCACTCTCCCTGAAGAGCACACGGCAGTCGCGAGCATACCGAACATTGTCCCTAGCGATGTAACACCAGAAGGCGCAAATCAACTACTTCTAGACTATACTTTAGCTGTCCAGCGAGGTCACATACCGAATCTCGATCTTCATGTCATCAGAGAGCAGATTGACAAGAAGCTCGCCGCACAAGGCGTATCTACGCTCGAATTTCTAGAATCCGACACACCGCATCCTCGCCTTCCAGAAGATGGCACACTGCCGGATGAGCTGCAGGGTGCCGAGCCCGCCGGCTATCTCACAGCAGAGCAAGAAGATTCGTACCTGCTGCGTCTCGACGCAAGACTCGGCGATCCTGTCAGCTTAATGAAGATGGACGAGAAAGACAAGGAAGGCGAGGCGAGTCTTCACAAGCACTGGGCGGATATGACACCGAGAGAAGTGGAACGTCAGATCGAGTTGCTGAATCCTCAAAGTCAACACAACTGGCTGGCAAGACACGCAAAGCATACAGGCCATGCCGATATTGATGACAATGAAAGTCTTGCATCGCACGATATCAAGCCGACCCCTGGCCGAGGAGGTGGGAAGAGGAATCTCGCCAAGCAAGTCGGAGATCGAGCTGTCGGCCGTGCGAGGGAAGGGGCAAGTCCGAGCGCAGTATCTATGGCAGAGGACGACGATCTTGCGTTTGTGGATGATCATCCGCAAATCGCAGGCAAGAAGCGAGGGCGTGCCGATCCAGATGGTACCTATCGCGTTAAGGGCGGAAAGGGTGGTGCTTCTGCTAAGGGGAAGAGGAAACGTGGTGGCGACGAGACTCCAACAGGGATGGGAAAGAAGGCGAAAGTGGATGCTGATTGAGACGAGAAAGCGTCGTATCCTTACAATGCATTGTACGAGCCTTACATTCCAGGAAAGCCGAAAGCCGCCAGGAATGTGGCATCTCGATTTTTCCATGTGGTACGGTACGTCAATTGATTGCACATCTTCTCTCGCCTGCACGACGTTCATTAATGTAGTTGTGAGGAAGCCGCGTTATACTTCTGCTGTAAGCATTGAAGAACACTTCAAATGCCATCGCATCGCCTGTGCTTGCAAGCAAGGGATAAACAAATCAATCACGTGCCACAATATTTTCTTTGACAACTTCTCTGTAGCTCTGATCCGGTGACCCTCGACCTGAAAGCAAAGAACAATGACCGAAAACGGCTCTCGGCACACGCTCTCAATAGCCCATCTCAACTACAACATAGATCACGAACTACCTATCCCTATCCCTTCATCACGCCACAACAACAAACACAATTACCTCACTCACTCACTTTCCCACAAAAATGCTCCGCTCACTCTACCTCCTCTGGCTCCCCATCGCCTTCCTGGCCCTCTCCGTCCACAGCAACGAAAACACCCACCTCCTCAACGCCCGCAACGCCCTCGCAAGCGAAATCTCAGACGTCCAAACCGAATTCGGCGAAAGCAATGTCGATACTTCTCTCGAAGGATATGATCATGAACTCCTCCTCACCCGCGACACCGACACAATTCCGAAGAAAGCGGCAAGGATTTTGAAACCTCATCATAAAGTGATCCGAAACGATGATGAAGAGGATGAGGATGGATATGAGGTTATTGCGAAGAGGGAATTAATTGAACATCAGAAACGGGCTTTGGAGGCGAAATTCGGGGATGCGGTGGATTTTAGTTTGGAGGGGTATGATGAGAATTTACTGAATGGTGAAGATGAGGAGGGAGAGGGGATTGTGATTGAGAAACGTGGGGAGGAAGGAGAGGAGATTGATTGGAGTCTTGAAGGGTATGATGAGGAACTTCTGAAGCGGGATGTTGAGGATGAGGATGGTAATGGTGAGGGGGAAGAGGAAATTGATTGGAGTCTCGAAGGATATGATGAGGAACTGCTCCACCACAAACGTGGCGAGGATGATGATGATGAAGATTATAACATCCCATCCGGTGACGGAACTCCCTACGACGCGGATTTCGAGTCGAGTCCGGATTTTTTGAAGGCTTGGGATTCGGATTCGGGGATTTTTGAGAGGGATTTTGAAGATGAGGAGGATGGGGTTGAGGATGGGGAGGAGGAGGAGGGGATCGAGGTTTTGACTGGGGCTGTGAGGAGGGATGTTAGTGGTGAGGAAGAGGAAGAGGAGGGGGATTGGATTGAGGTTGTTAAGAGGTGGGTTGGGTGGGAGTAGTTAAGGTAGGGGGGAAGGTGTAATGAATGAGTGAATGTTTTTTCATAGCTATTTTCGGACTTCCAGAATGGTCTATCTAGGTCAATGTGATGGAACAGAACAGAACGCCTTTCTTCGATTGATAATGATGATGAAAAATGCTGTTGCTAATGTAAGAATTTCAATAAGGTTTCGTGTATAGGGCAGTTCCTCACTATGAGCCACATCGGTGTGACGGTTAGCAAAGTTTCAAAAGTGAAAAATTTCAGTCAAAGAAAGCGGTATCATCAAATTCTCCAAAAAAAGAATTCTTCTATATAGATAGAGATCGTAGTAGCATAAGCATCATTCAACCGTAATCATTGCGATCCTCCCTTCATCTATCCTTCATCTACTAGCCAGGGTGGAGTGGATGCCACCAATTCCACCTACCATCTATCATCCATCTAAAGATCGTAGTAGCATAAGCATCATTCAACCGTAATCATTGCCATCCTCCCTTCATCCAACCTTCATCTACTAGCCAGGGTAGAGTGGATGCCACCAATTCCACCAACTATCTATCATCCATCTAAAGATCGTATTAGCATAATCATCCCCCTCCACCCATCCTATCCCCACCCCCCTCCCCATCCCCTACATTTCCCTCTATTAATCTAACACGACCCCTCTCCCCCCGGCCAACACCCCGGATACAGCGGACACCACCGATTCCACCAAGTGTTAATATACTGCGGATAATTCTGATAACAATAATACCAACTCCAAAGATCATAATTCCAAGAAGCGGTCGTCGAAGCATATGTATAAGTATAGGCAGGCCACCAAACTTTCGCTTGCGAGATTTGTGCCGCACTGGGGACTTGGTTGATTTGTGAGGTGGCGTAGTTGTAGGATTCGAGGCGGATGGTGGCGAGGAGGGTGGCGTCGATGTCAATGGAGCGGGGGTTTAGGTTCTGTGTGGACTGGAGGTTAGAGGGTTGGGGAAGGTTGGTGGTTTACGGGTAGTTGAAAGGTGATGGTGTGTGTACCTCTGTTGGGACTGGGTTGGCGAGAACGACAGTCGAGGCTGCGAGTGCGGTGAGGATGGATTTGATCTGCATTTTGTCTTGTCTTGGCTGGGAAATTTTGGTTCTGTTGTTGCTGCAATGTATATGAGTTTGGTGAAGCTGGATGAACTTTTCTGGCTTTTTCAGATGAAGATGAGGAGCTTCTTATACATCTCGTCGGCCTGTCGACATTCCGCTTCAGACTGGTCTATTCCTGCTGTCGCAAGCGGGCTATAGCGGATAAGGAACTCCAATTGCGGCTTATCTTTGAAGATGTGCAGGCTGTACGGTGGTGTTCAAAGGGCATTTCCACCGCGAAGCTTTCGTATATTACCAAATCGGGCTAAAGAGCCTCCATTTGCTAGGTCTGTCGTATAGTATATATAGGTCGACATGGGGTGCTCTTCGGCCAAGCTTCGAAGCTGACTGACTGCTCGAAAAGCTTGTCAAGAATAGGGCCTCAATACGATAGCACTAATAGCTGCACCCTGGAATTGGCAGATGAGCAAATTCTTGTCGAATGTGTGGTGGTGATGGCCAGCTAAACACATCAATACTCCGTTTTTCCGAGCGGAGGCTGCGGAGCGACAATTTCAAAGATGCATCATGCGCCCGCAAAAGCGGCAAAACTGACCGAGCCCTCTAATTGGTCTAAAATCGAATCCGAGTTACGTGCCCTTCAACCTCATGCTATACTTTCACACAATAACAAAGGCAATACTACAATGCGCCAACACGACCAGTACTATGTAACACGACCAGTACCATGCAACGCGACCAGCACTATGCGACACGACCAGCACTATACGACACGACTAGCACCATGCGATACGACTAGCACCATACAGCACGACTAGCACTATGCGATACGACACCCCTATACCTGCCTCTTCCGTAAGCAACCCATAGTAGCCTTCTACAGTAAAACAAACTATAACCTGCAGCGACCTTTAATAGTAAACGGGCAAAGAAAGAGTAATACAGGAAGAGCAAGGATAAGCAATAAAGGACATAGAGAAATAAAGAACATAGAGAAATGTAAGACTTAGCCAGAAAAAGGACAATACCAAAAGGCAAAAAACTGTAGACGGGCAACACCCGGAGTCACTCTTACGGATACGATATAGCCCTCGAGCATATAACCCTTCAAGACAATGTTCTTAAGCGCCACTCCGTCGCTCCGCTCGATTAGGACAAGCACTGCAGGGCTCAAACGATACTTTATTTCGGAGTGATATATGTCTTGACCGTCGTGATGCAATGATCTAACCTCAAGTTTTGACGTAAAGCATAAACACATCTCATAGTGCAGCCGACGAACCCGATACTCCGGAGCATCCTTCTCAATATCTCGTAAAACGATCGAGTTGAGGGTAGCATGTTGCACGGCCTGTTCTGGAAGTGAAAACGACTTGCTACCCAAGTCCTGATCCCGGTGCGAAGCTTATGGTGCTGAGTGTATCCCGAGGAATCATGTCAGAAAATGACGTGCCAGATGGTGGATTAGACTAACATCATGAGACGGCACGTGCCCTCCGTCCTGCTCTCATGAATATAGACATTCGTAAACGCTACGAGCGGTACGGATACGAATCGAGCCGAGGGGAAGAAGAATCATTGGGCACGTAGCCGATTTATGCTAGAAACTGCACCAAAGGCAGGATGTATGATCGTATCTAGAGTGAGATGCTGTTCAGATGTCCCTTTGAAAGGACAGCCAGATCGTAGCGCGGCCGTAGCCGCGATGACATGCGGCAGCTCCATACCAGGATGCTTTCCATATTTGGATTCTGAGCTCGGCTGTGTTATTCTATGGCTTGGGTTTTCCTGGGCAGATCAAAAGACGATGCCCTGGATGGCGAAGCGTCGATATATTGACGAGGCCACACTTTGCACAACTGCCGGAGTTGCAAAGATATGGGCCAATCTTTCCCCGAACATTGTCATCGGTATGAGGGGAGAAGTGTGATCATGCGCAATTTGGAAAGGAAGCAGATCACTCAGAAGGTGTTCCTATCAGATTCAGGAGTGGCAGGTGGCTGCAAGTGGGCATACTCCGGCAATTCCCACAAATGAGCATGGTGTTGTGAATGAAGACTCAGGCTGACGTTGAATATTGTCTTCACATGCTGAAGGAAGAAGGGAAAAGTGCGTCGAAATGCAGGTGGAATTTGCGGCAGTCCTAGCGCGTGCTGACTAGCCCAATGCAGTCGTTGATCATGTGACGGGAGAAGCATTTCCCGGCGCTAGAAGGACTGTAGAAGGCGACTGTTCGTGGGGCGATAGAATAGCCGGCGTGCTCCCATGGATGCTGCATGCGTGCACGGCGACGGTGGTGTGTGTGTGTGCGTGTGCGTGTGCGTGTGCGTGTGCGTGGGATTGGGCGCGTTGTGAGTGAGTGACAGGACCATGTTCATACTGTATTCCCACATGCGGTAGTCTCGCGCATAGCGTGGGAGTGATTGACGACACCTCCTCGTCGTGCGATGGAATGCGCGCTGGTCTGAGTCTGCACACTGCCTCTCCCACCTTGGCAGTAGTCACGACCGCGACCGCGACCGCGACCGCATGCTGCCACCACCACTGCGCCGCGCGAAATACCGAAATACCAATACCACTCCTCCACCCTAGAACCAGCACGAGAAGACACGCGAAACATCTGGGGAACGAGGCACGAACGTACTTGCTCTCAGACCAGCCTGCCCGCCGCACGAAGCACCGAACACCGAAATCCCTCCACACAATATCGCCAGCGCCATCGCCGTCGCCATCGCCATCGCCATCGCCATCCATGCTCCATGGGCAAACACCATACTTCTGACCGCTAGACATCGCCGCGTCGGCTGGCCGCAGCAAGAGCAGCATCTCGCCGTTTGACTGGCTTGGCCAGCATCCCACCGCTTACGGTTCGCGTGAAAGAAAAGCACAATCCATCCTCTCCAACTCTGCAATTCCATGGTCCGCGAGCTCCAATTCCATGCTCTACACAAGTACGCGCTTTCCTCCCGACTCGATCGTCACGCTGAGAGCGCGCATACCATGCGCCGACACCCTCTCCGCCCTACGCACACCTCGCGAGCCTCCACTCCTCCAGATGCTTTGAGTCTCATCCAAAGCTACGACTCCGACCTGAACCCCTCGCGACCTGTCAGGTCTTCACCCCTCGGCTCTTCCACTGATACAGGCCTACCTCTTGAATTGCTTGATCGACTCAAAGCATTTCCTCTTTTCCAGACTGCACCCGAATCCTTCCTCCTCTCCATTGGAAAGAGCCTACGTCCAAGCATATTTCAACCATCACAAGAAATCATTCGGGAAGGCGAAGATGCCAAGGCTATGTACTGGCTCGTTCGCGGCTCTGTACGCGTGACGAGTCGCGATGGCGAGAGCACGTATGCCGAGCTTCGACCCGGATCCTTCTTTGGCGAGATCGGTATTCTGATGGACATGCCGAGGACAGCAAGCATTGTCGCTACGACGCGAAGCTTGGTCGTTCGCCTGAACAAGGAAGACTTGCAGAAGGAGCTCCCCAGCTACCCAGACGTCGAAAGAGCAATAAGAGACGAAGCACTGGAAAGACTGGCCATTCTGGAGCGTAAAAAGAAGGAAAGAAGTGCGGGTGGTGCAGAAGAAGGCAGCATGAGGCCTCCAGTCGCGCCTCGAAAAAGATCACGTGACTGGATTGCTGGCGATGTTGAGATGGGAGACGCTGGATCGCTGGACAATGGAGAGGTCACAAGCAATAAGAAGAGGAAATCGCCCTCGCCCGGCATTGCAGAAGTGGCCGCTTCCAGCGCATTAGGCACATCTCCACTGACCATACGGCAGTTGTTGAAAGAACTGCCCCTGTTCTCCGGTTTGCCGTCAGATATTCTGCACTTCCTAGGAGTCAACGCCCAACCTCTCTCGTATCCGCCTTTCACCGAAATCGTCAAGCAAGGAAGCAGCGGGAGAGAGGTCTATTTCATCGTGAAAGGTGATGTCGAGGTCCTGGCAGACGTGCCCGCCTCCGCCAAAACAATCCCGTTAACGCCCACGAGTGCAGACACGAACAGCAATTCACCAAAGCATGACTTGAAGGTGCGAGCTCGTCTGGGTGCTGGCCAGTACTTTGGTGAGGTGACTAGTTTGAGTCTGGCACCGCGAAGAACAGCAACCGTGAGGAGTGTGAATTACGTCGAGTGTCTGCTCATCAATGGCGACGTGTTAGACAATCTGTGGCAGCGATGTGGCTCCGATTTACGACAGCAAGTGGAGCAGGAGGCTCGGCGGCGGCTCAAAGCTGCGCGGAGGGACGACGATATCGTCATGACAGATGTCGGAGGACCCGTTGGCGGAGGAGGCGGCATTGACACGAGCGAGCCTCTAGACCAGTCCGGCCATGTCGAGCAAAACGAGGAACCCAATGACTGGCGAAAAGACCTGCCGATTGTGAAATTTGAGGACCCTCTCCCTATCGCCAACCCAGAGCAGACATCGCCCGTCGTCACTCCCAACATGGAACCAATCGATCCAGACCCGTTCTTCAACGAGAATCTCGACAACATGCGCGCGAGATCGAGAAGATCATCCCTCGCGCCTCCCTTGCCGCCAGCAGATGGTCAGATGTCAGCCTTGGAAAATCGCACACCAAGCCCGCCTGCAGTCCGGGTCATATCTTCTTCGCCACTCAAACCTTTCCCATACAAGATGTCACCATCGTCATCCGTCGCCTCACCAAACTCTCCATCACGCCTTAGTCCTGTTACCACGAGAAGACCGAGTCTGGTGCGGATCCCGTCAAATTTTGGTCAGGGCAAGCTCCCGGACACGGTTCTCGTCAAGATCTTCATGCACATGGACCTCTTAACCATCATGCGCTGCCGACAAGTGAGCATGCACTGGCACCACCTCATCCAGACTTCACCAGATCTCCTTCACGAGTTGAACCTCTCTCAGTACAACAAGTATGTCACGGATGAGGTGCTTCGGGACGTCATTGTTCCGCTCGTCGGTAACAGACCCAGAGATGTGGATCTCTCCAACTGCTTTCACGTTACGGATGAGGGCTTCAAAGTACTCGTTGAAGCTTGCTCAGGCTCAGTCAAGGCCTGGAAAATGAAGTCGGTATGGGACGTCACAGCGGGAGCTGTTCTTGCACTCGTCGACAAGGCAAAAGAGCTAGAAGAGATTGACCTCAGCAATTGCAGAAAGGTTGGCGACACTCTGCTCGCGAGAGTAGTCGGTTGGGTTGTTCCAGAGCAGAAAGCAGGCCAGCACTTGCCTCCACCTGCGCCACATCCACCCAACGGCAAGAGACCGGGCATGCGACGACACGGTGGTTCAGCGATTTCTCCTGCGACAGAACATGCCCCTGCGCCTCCTCCACCGGGAACAGTCATCGGCGCACCGAAGCTGAAACGTCTCACACTTTCGTATTGCAAGCATGTGCAGGATCGAAGCATGGCGCATATTGCAGTACACGCGGCCGACAGACTTGAAAGCCTTGACCTCACGAGGTGCACAAGCATTTCCGATGCAGGCTTTCACTCGTGGGCAGTCTACAACTTTCGTGCTCTCAAGAGGCTTGTGCTTGCTGACTGCACGTACCTCAGTGACCAGGCAATAGTTGGCATTGTCGGCGGCTGTCGAGGCTTACGCGAGCTCGACTTATCATTCTGCTGCGCTCTTTCCGACACTGCGACTGAAGTTCTCAGTCTTGGACTACCAGCACTGCGAAAACTAGACATGGCCTTTTGCGGCTCAGCAGTCAGCGACAATAGTCTTCGATGCATCGGCCTACACCTGCTCGAGCTCCGATACCTCAGCGTGCGCGGCTGTGTGCGTGTGACGGGACAAGGCGTGGAAGCCGTAGTAGAAGGCTGCCGATATCTCGAAATGTTCGACGTCAGTCAATGCAAAAACTTGCGACCTTGGCTTGAGAGGGGTGGGATATCGCGTGTGAACGGACCTGGTATGAGTCGCAACGTCCGCTTCGATATCGTTGCCGACGGATCATGGAGAACGCGGTCCCGATGATTTTGACATGACTTTTATACGGAAGACACACACACAATGAATGCTCAGCGCGGCGTCATGGAGCACAGTCACGACCGAGGCATGTGTATTGTATGATATTGATGGATCTATGAGCATCATGTGAAGGAAGGAAGGAGCCTTTATGAAGTCCATTTTATGACGATCGGTTGGTTGTTTTTAACAGCGAGAGATACCATCGATGTTTGCTCTCGATTAGTATGTATACCATCTGAAACGATCACGATCTTGGAATGACAATTTCAGAGAAAGAAAAGTGAACGAAAACTTTTTTCAAAGTATGCAGGCATGCATTTCACACCGTTACTGATTATTATACAGATGCTTCTGTCGTTGCCGCGACTTCTTCTAGCAGAGCCAGCCAGCCAGCGCCCAGCCGTTGACTGAACCCCAAGTCACTTACTTACTACTTCCACCACATGCAATAATCATGATCGTCCTAGGAACCCGATCACGGGAGGATGGAGGGGGGAGGGGGGGGATGATGCATCTATCCACCTCCACTCCCACCCAAAAGCTCAAACAACTCCCACCCTATGCCCTCCAACCCCTCTCCCTTCTCTCTGTCTTATTCACTCATAAACATAACAAAACGGTCCCTTCAACGTATCCACCGCCTCCCGAATCTTGATCCCCTTCCCATTCACCCCCAAGTCAATGACATCGTCCAGCGTCGTCAACGAAGAATTCGCAACCCCGAACACCGTCTGTCCCGCGATGATCTCCATCCTCTCCCGATCGGCTTTCTGATTCTGCCAGATCCACCAGACGCGGTCGATTTGGGCGTGTTGCAGCCAGAAATACGGATCGCCCGCCGAAGCGAACAGATCGCCGCCGGGATCGCCGCCGACTAGGAAGTGGCCGGCGGTGTGGGCGCCGAGGAAGCCCGAGGGGAAGTTGCCTTGGAGGGTGTTTTGGAAGGTGAGGAGGGAGGTGCAGTTGGTGATTAATGCGGAGATTTGGGCGTCGTTGGCCCATTTTTCCACGGCGTAGGCGGACATGTCGCGGCGGAGACAGCGGGGGTTGTAGCCTAGGCCGTCTTTTTGGGGGTTGGGGGTGGCGTAGCTTAGGGAAGGGGAGACGGGGCCGAGACGGACGGTGATGTTTGCGAAGGGACCGGTCGTCACGCAGCCGCCGCCGCCGCCGGGGGGGATTTTGATGTTTCGTTGTTGGTCGTTGGGGACCCAGGTGCCGTTGTTTTGGGGGTCGAACTGGCCGTTTCCGGATAAGGAGGTTTCGGAGCCGTCGAAGGGGGGCGCGTTGAGGAGGTCGAGGGCGTATTTGGGCCAGTTGAGGTAGGGGAAGGGACCTTGGTAGGCGCATTCGTTGCGGAGCGCTTGTTCGTAGGTCCAGGTGAAGTAGCGGTGCCAGGAGAGGAAGTTACCGGTGCCGTGGATTGTGAGGGTTTGGTTGATGTGGGTGGCGAGGAAGTCGTCGTAGCGACTCCTCGCGCCGGGGACCAGGTGGCCGCTGATGGACGGCTTTTCTAGTAGGCATTTGACTGCTTTTATGTATGCTTTCTTCTCGTCGCGACATAATGTCTCCCATTCCCGCCGTATTGATGCTGTTTCAAAGGTGCATGATGGTGGTGGTTGTGAGGAGTCAGGTTCGGGCGCATGCCGGTTCTGTCGTTTTGAGTGCTGTGCTGCTACATTCCGCAACGCTATAGCAGCGAGTGTGTCGGAGGCAGAGGTGTCGGCGACTTGGAAAGTCGCTGCGGCTGCTGAAATGGGGAGCAGTATTAGGAGTGACTCCTGAATGCGCATGGCGAAGCTTCCAAGTCTCACAGAGCCACGTGGGTAGTGAGGTGGTGCGAGGAGAAGAAGCACCTGTCTATGTATCAACTCTATCGTAGGGCACAAGTCCCGTCATCCGGAAGAATAGGGTTTGTGCGATCTTGCGCGGATGCACGGCTCAAATTAGATCGACGTTTGGTGGTAGGATGCCGTAGTCTAATATCGGTCATCCTCGACCCATGCCATGCTCCCGGAACATAGATACAGTTACCGGTATTGCAGTCTCGAACAACCTTGGCCGGACTCTGCGCCACGTCGGCCTTGGAGTGAAGCGAGAAAAGCTGGTTGCGGTGTTCTTGTGCCACGGCGGGACGTCCACGAGGGCCGTACAGGTACAGCCGGTATTCTGTGGGTGGGTGCATCGCCGGTGTCACGTTGCGCAGGCATCACCGTCACCGGAGAGTCGAGACCACGAATCCGAGTGTGCTGGGCAGCGTTGCGGTGCGGTGCGAGGAGATCCCAGCTAGGCACAGCGTAATAATACGGTGCAGACGGAGGCAAAATAGTGTGATAAGGGATGACGAGAGCGAGCGAACGGAAGGCTGGCAAGCAAAGACCCCGAAGTGAAGTCAGACTTGACGATGCTCCCGTCTTAGCCGTCGGTGCCCCGCCCCCGCCCCTCCGTCGCAACTCTATCGCGGAACATCCTCGACCCGATCCTGACTTTACGGCCTGGCGTTAGGCGAGACTATTTCATAGTATTATAGTAGCTAAGGACTATATAGATATATTTGTATTAGAGAAAGGGCCTAAGCTTAGAAGGACCGGCTATATACGTAATTAGGACTATACTTACTAGATCTTCTTACTACGCTATACTAAGTATTTAATACTAGCATTACGCGAGACGGCAAGGAAGAAGCGTAACGAGAGAAGGCTTCTTTATCCTAATAATAAGACTTGTAATTTATAAAGGCCGCTTAAAGAAGTATAATTGCCCTTAGTTTATAGCCCTTACTACGGACGACTAGAAAGACCCTAATAATAGTATATAGTCTCTTACGTTTAATAGCTCTAACTATAACTATCTAGTAGTCTATCTAATAGCGCTAGCTAAATTCTAATTACCGCCGCCGAGCTCGTATAATAGAGATTATTAAGGCTATATTATAGTTAAAGTCTATAGGCGTTACTAATTAATAGATTAAAGCCGCTATTAAGCTCCGTTTTAGTAGTAGAGACTAGGAAATTAGGAATCGCCTATCGTATCTACTACTTTATAAGATATCTTAAATAGCTAGTAAAAGGCTAAGAAGTTACGACTCGCTAGTAAATTAGTAGTTAATAAAACAATTAAGGACCTCCTATAATAGAAGTACTTCGTATAGAAGGGTATTAGTACTAGACTCTTAGCTACTTAAGCGGATTAATAAGCGACTTAGTCGTACGACTCGGCGTAAGGCTACTAGACCTAAGCTAATTAAATAGGCCGCTAAATAGGCCGCTATTAACTAGTAAGAAGCGATAAGATAGGCTAAGCTAGGGAGGCCTATTCTATCGCTACTAGTACTACGAGAACGTTTATATAAGGGCTATATATATAAAACGGCCTATAGGAGGTATAAGTACGTTAGGGATAACGTAGACTACTACTCTAGCTATTATAAGTATAGGTAGTACGATAGGATATCTATATAGAGGCTTTTAGTACCTCTAAGAACTCTACTAGTACTTATAGCGCTAGTAGTAGTACTAGACTATACTAAGATTATATAGTAGGAGCTATATATCGATACGAGGGTTATAGAACCTTATTTGCTAGGTAGGTAGTATACTTAGAATAGTTAGGATTAGTGTTAGAATACTCGAGAATATACGAGTCTAGTTAAATTTATAAGTAAGAGAAGGAGAAGGAAGTTATAAGATTATTTACTTACGGCTTAGTAATAGCTTGTAATTCTTAGCGCTAGGGTATATAAGTAGCTAGTAAGTCCTTTGTTCGAATAGCAAGCAATCCTAACGGTTTACCGCTTATCTATATTATTTACAATAGTTATAAGCCCGGAAAGCAAGTAAAGAAACAAGAAAGTTCGAGAAATTACCCGATTAGGCAACCCGCTTGCGTAAGGTTAAACCTTATCCGACGTTACTCTATAAATCGAAGAAAGCGACTAACTTCGAACAATAATAAGATAACGGTTATTGCTCCGCTATAGACGCCGGTCTATAGGCGAAAAGAACCGACTAATACGAACTAAACGATCTAAAAATATTAACGATACGACTAGTACGAGTCGAGGAATCGAACGATAAAGATATCTACTACCGAGACGACTATCGGTATAGTAAAGGGAATTCCGCAACTTACTACCGAGAACTATACTATCTAGATCGACCTAATTTAAGACTATTTATTCGGACAAGGCCTTTAGAAGTATAGGAACGGTATACCGGAAGCTATAAGCTAAGATTCGGCTAAAGCAAGAGAGGCTAAAAAAGATAACGTAAAAGCAGTTGCGTTTATTAAGTCTACGGCTAGGGATAAGCGTATACACCTCCTAGGACTACGTACGACTAGGGAGGTAATCGATAAGATAAAGGAAGTAAGCGAAGTATCGATAAAGGAACGGGTTTCGACGCTACTCTCCTATTTCTATTCCTTTAAAGCTCTTAAGGATATCGATACTACGGCTTTAGCTCTTACGTAAATCTAATCCGAGATTAAGGCCGCGGATAAAGACGAAGTTCCTTCGGACGCCTCTAAGAAAGCAGTCCTTATATCGTCGTTAGAAGAAGAGTATTCGTCTACTATATTCGCCTTAAAGGCGGCTAGTTTATCTACTCTTTCCTACGAGGAACTAGTTTAACGACTACGGGACGTTGAATATGCTATTACTACTTCTAAAGGCGATAAAGTAGTAGCCCGATATACTAAGGAATCGGCGAAAGATAAGGCCGGTAACGGAAAGAAGGGTAATACGCTTAATACGCCTAATACGCCTAATAAAGCTAAACGAAAGACGTGTTACTATTACTAAAAGATCGGGCACTTTAAACGGGACTATAGGAAGTATAAATAGGACTAAAAGAACGGAAAAATCTAAGAAAATAAGGAGGAATCTAAGATCGCGGCTTAGACGGCTATCGATTCTACGACTCGACTATCTAATAAAGGGGATTAGATCCTAGACTCCGGATACACTAGACATATGTCTAACGATAAGAACTACTTTACGGACTAGAAGGAAATAACCGGAAAAGTTACTCTAGTAAACGGCAAAACAATAAAGGTCGTGGGGTCCTATACAACCCTCGTCCGGTTTAAGAGAATTCCGACTACGATTCCGGACGTTATATACGTACCCGAGATCGGTTATAACCTGCTTTCGATAAGCTAACTCTCGGAACGAGATATTACGACTCTATTTACTAAAGAAGAGGCTATACTTCGAAGAGGAAACGAAGAACTAGTAAACGAGGTACGCGTCGGAAGGTCCTATAGTCTAAAAGAATCCGAATCTATCGGGACTTCGAGAGTAGCTACTACTACGACTAAAGGTACTACGCTACTTTAGTACCGACGCTTAGGATATCCGGGAGACGAAAAACAACGAAACGTATATAAAGTACTACTAGGAGTCCCGGAGCTTTCGACGTTAAATAAGTCTTACGAGACTTATATTACTACGAAGTCCGATAGACGATAAAGTCGAGAAGAACCCGAAAAGGCAGACTATTGCCTAGATAGGGTATATATTGATTTTTAGGGTTCGTATAAGTATAGTACCTTAGGGGGAAATAGGTATATACTAACAATTACGGACGACGCTACGAGACGGTTAGATATCCGTCTTACTCGCTACCGAAGCGACGTATACGAAGCCTTTAAGGCTTAGAAAAACGAGGCCGAACTCGAAACCGGAAGGAAACTAAAGGCTATAAGAATCGATAACGCTCTAGAGCTTATTAAAGCTCTTAAGGCCTATCCGGGACTACGAATCGAGACAACGACGCCCTATACTCTAGACTAAAACGAGGTAGCAGAGAGACAAAACCGTACTATTATAACTAAGGTACGGGCGGCTTTAGAAGGGTCCGGATTACCTAAACAATTTTAGGGCAAAGCGGCCTATACGGTTACCTATTTATATAATAGGCTACCTATTAAAGGAAAGGATATAACTCCCGAGGAGCTCTATACCGGAAGAAAGCCTAGCGGAGAACATTTACGGGTATTCGGCTGCCTAGCCTATCCGTTTATTCCTAAGGAGAAAAAGAAAGATAAGCTAGAAAAGACGGCATTCCCGGGAATCTTCGTCGGATATACGAAGTCTACGAAATAGTATAGGATTTATAATCCTTAGACGAACGCTATCGGGATCTATACTAGCGTTAAATTCGACGAATCGACTAAGGGAAGTAGCCTACTATCCGGAGAAGAACTACCTACTCTACGGCCTACTACGGATAACGACGATAACTATTAGAGGTTATACGTAATTAGCATGTAACTAGACCGAGTAAAGCTAGGGTCCTAATGCCTTAGGCAGGGCTTAGCGCTTAGCGTTAGGCTAACTAGCTGTAAGAAGGGTTATATTAGCAGGTAGATAGGGTGTAGGTAAATTAGTGTAGTATTCGATAGAGATCTAAAAGGTGAGGGAGGGAGGCAGGCTAGTTAGCCTAACGCTAAGCGCTAAGCCCTGCCTAAGGCACTAAGACCCTAGCTTTACTCGGCCTAATTATATGCCAATCACGTATAGCCTCTTTAGCCCTAATATACGCTTCCCTTCTAAAGGCCGCGCCCTCGTAGCCTATCTATATTCTAATCTCGACCTCTATTGCTACTAACTTAGTAGGTCTAATAAGCTACTTAGTCCGCGCTAAATTGAACACTTAACCACCTAATTATATAATTATATTAAACCTCACTTCTAATATAATACAATATGCAACTCCAACTGCGCTATTCTTATATATAATAAAGTAATATATATCTACGAGAATTGAGGGCCTTCGACTAATTATAATACGAGCGCGTCTTCCCTACTATAATAGGTAGACGTACGAGGTATTACAGCCCTACCTCCGCTCTAAGTAATATCGTACCGAGTTCTTTGCGTCTACTCTTAAAAGACCTAGAAATGTCCGCTTCCGAGGGTTTGTCCGTTTCCGAGGGATTGTTCTTATTATTACGAGGACTATTATTGTTCGTGGTTTCGCTAGCCCTAATTAGTTAGGTTTGGCAGCCTTTAAGTATCAACTAATTATATCTTTTCAAAAAAACACAGCTCGTCTAGTTTCTATAAGTAAAGGCTATTATAAGTGTAGTAGTAGAGGTTCGCCTCGCTTAAAGGGTTAGATAGATCGAGGAGTAACCTATTGTCCGTAAGATCGACCCCGGCTAGCTTAGCTCTATAGTTTTGCCTTTAGTTAGTTAGTCTATCGGTCGCTTAATCTTTTAAGCGGCTTAAAGTTTAATCAAAGTTTTAATCAAACCTTTAATATAGCTATTCTTTTAACTTGTCTAGTAGGGTGCGCTCCGGCTCGTAGTATAGGTAAGGTTGTGTCTATAGGCGCAGCGG